TGAAGAGGTATTTCTATATCTTTCATTTACCAAATTAAAATGTCACATGCTTTTGATTAGATTGGTTTTGAAATGATGTATGGCAATGGGATATAATAGTAGTATTTTTCAGATGCCTAAAAGAAAGGCTGTATCGAAAAAACTTTGGTTCTTTTTTGTGGATTGTCTAGAAATGAGGCTAGGGTTAAGATTAATTGTTATATTTTTTCTTTTCAGGGATATTAAGACCTTGAATATTTTCTTGACCAAATCAGGGCTCTTAAAGATGGGAGATTTTGGTATATCTAAAATTATGGATTCACAGAGTAAAATGGCTGAAACTGTGAGTCTTTTTAACTTTCTGTTCGAATATTACAATAAATTCAGGGATGTACCATATTTAAAAAGCATCATCTTGAATTTTGACAACTCAATGATACTACAGCAGTGTGTATCAAAAGTATATCAAATTCATAGATATCATCTATTACAAAAAGTTTGAATGACAGAAAAAGAAACAATTTTTTTTGCAATATTATTTCTATTCCAGTATAGTTTCTAATTGTATCTTATTTGAATTTAGGTTGTTGGAACACCTTATTATATGTCACCAGAACTGATGCAAGGAAAAAAGTAAGTTTTGTCTTATATTTATTCATCTTTATTAATGAAAGATATCTGATATCTTATTCAGTTATAATTTGTCAAACAAAACATTTGTCATGGAACCAGTCATTGAGAAACTTATGTTGTACATAATTATGTTTTTTTTAACAGATACAATCAAAAGAGTGATACTTGGGCACTAGGCTGTGTTTTATATGAAATATTAACTTTAAGAAGAACATTTGAAGCCACTGTGAGTAGTTTTACATTAACAAATGGGAATAGACCACGTAAGGTGTCTGGTGCGGAGTGCAGTGCAGAATTGTCGATGTCTGCATCCTGTCAGAGCCCATACTTAGTGCATTTGCTTTTCTATTTTCTAGTCTATCGACAATTAGCACAAATTATTCAGTAGAAGTAGTCATAAGTTTTGAAAGATATAACAAAATATTTTGTGTTGTATAATCAATAGAGTAGAATATCTTGTTTGATTTTTAAGAGAATTATATAACTGATTTGATATTTATTTCAGAATCCTCTTAAACTAGCCAATGATATTGTTCAACTTCAACAAAAAGATATTGGTTCAAATTTTTCAAAAGATATGCATAAACTGGTATCTAAAATGTTAGAAAAGGTTTGTCCATTTGTTTATCTTTTTAAGCCGTTATCTGAAAACTTAACAAATAACTTGCTGATATTAATGTAAAGATTTATGAATTTCATGAAGCAAGTTTGACATTAATATACATTGATGATTGTATATATATATATATATACGATCAATTGTGAGGATATATATTTCAATGTCTAAGCTAGGTTTCCTGTAATTTGTATGGCCAAATAATTCTACTATAATATGATATTTTGTCATCATACACATATATGTATGAACATTTTAAGCAAATGTTTCAAAACAATGATACATATAAAGCCTTCTTGTTCAAATTGATTTGTGTATATTGTTGATTTTTTAGGAGCCAGAGAAAAGACCAACATCTGAAGAGATATTTGATAGTCCATTATTTTTACATAGAGAGTAAGTTATCTCTTATTATATTACATATTACATTCTTCTGAATTATATTATCATCATCATTCTAATAACATGTATAGAAAATCTGACATTGGTTGCTATTCAAAGCTGAGATTTATTAAATCAAGTCGTTTTAAATGTAAAAATTTAGTCAATAAATGTAAAGTTATTTACAAAAGAAGATTGTTAAGTGATACTATAATATATTTCAGTAAGTTAGAAAGTAAGGTATGGGAGTTGAATTCAGCAGCAAGAAAAGCTAGATTAAGTGCTGCCTCAGTTTCTGATACTACAGTTCCTGTTGTTAAAGCACAAATGTGTGAGGTTGGTGTGTTTATTTACATAGAATATTGTATTAATACCATACTAAATTAGGTTAACATAGTCACTTTCATACATATCAAAGATTTCAGTGATATTTAACATGGTTGATTATATTTATAATTCTATTATCAATAATTGTAGGTGTATGTCTGGGGTGGTGGTAAAATTACACCACAGAAAGTAGATTTCTTCACCAAGGAAAAGAGTCCAATTCAAGTTGATTGTGGTGAATGTCATTTTGCTGTATTAACTGTTGAAAAAGAAGTATTTACATGGGCAGTAAGTTTTTCTTATTATTTAAAAAAAACTTATAATATTGAATATTTTTTCTGTTATATGAAAGTATGATATCCTTTCACACATCTATTCATTGACATTTTTACCCTAGTATATGGGAATAAAGAATGTATGTTGATTTACATCATGTCTCTCTGTTTGTCTTTGTAATATAGAATCCCCAGGGTGGTATAGATATTGTGGGTCAGTTAGGCCATGGTGATACTGCTGGTTATAAAACACCTAGATTAATACAAGGTTTATCTGGTATACATATTAAACAAATATCTTGTGGTAAAGATTTTACTCTCTGTTTATCAAGTAAGTTTTTCGTTTTATAAAGTTTTCCTTTATTTTTAGTCATAGTTTCCTTTCATCTCAATCACTCAATTTCTATCAATTTTCATGGATGGATATATTGTGTTTTAATAGTACCATTTCTCTTCTCTGTACAGGTTTTATGTTGTTGTCAAAAAATCCTTGGTTTTTTGACTATCAAGAAACAATCTGAACAAATATTAGTTTTTGAGTTGAAAGAATATAGACAAAATACCAATGTTGATATTTTGAACTATATTATATAGATGAAGGTAAAGTGTATGGTTTTGGATCAGATTATAATGGTTGTATGGGAAGAGGTTATGAAGGTGATGATGTGTTATCACCTACATTAATAGAGTATTTTAATGATACACCTGTAGCAGAAGTATCTTGTGGTGATTCTCATTGTGTTATTTTAACAACAGAAGGTCATGTTTATACTTGGGGCTGTGGAGAATTTGGTATGTTGATAGCTATATATATAATAGTGATAATGATATGTGTTCAAAATAATGTACATTGATTTAAAAATAAATCAGTAGATACTGGAGTCTAAACTATGTTTCTGTGGAAATGGGTTGATAGTATCCAACTATAAAGTTCACTGAGCTCTAGATAAACTCCAGTCAGTCTTCATTTCTTTTTTTTCACACTAGTCTGGCTATTCACTTGCTAGGTCCCAATTGTTAATGATCATTGTTCCAAATTCTGTTAAACTAATTGTAAAAATGTAGTACAATCATTTTGAATGTTTTGATTTCACCCAACTTTTCAAATCCAATATCGACATATTTGATGATATTTTCAGGCAGGCTAGGACTTGGTTCTGAAGATGACTATAATACTCCTCAAAAGGTAAGATAGAATTTTGAAATTATTCATGAATTTTACATGATTTGCATTAGCAGTAAAACATCAGTTGAAATGCAATACACTTATATTTGTAGTGGATTTTATTAGTTAAATATTTTCTATGTAGGTATCAATACCAGGTAAACATCTAATAAAACATGTATATGCTGGAAGTGACGGTACCTTTCTACTAGCTAGTAATGGTAGATTATTAGCTACTGGTAGTAATGAAAACAATAAATTGGGCTTTAATTCACAGACATCTGGTCTCAGAAAACGAAAGAAAAAGGTTAGTTGATGGGTTGTTATTATAACTAGTATTACATTATCTTTAATACCTAAAACTCAAAGCATCCATTATGAAAAATATGATAAAATATCCTTGTTTTTTTTTGTATATTAATGAAGTTTTAATTATTCAAATGAAATGATTTCCAATTTCCTTTTTTCATTTTTTGGATCAATTCATATTTTTATTAATTGTAGGTGTACGATATACCATGTAAATGTAGTTTTAGTACAGTTAAACCACTTAGTAGAAATCATATTATATCTGTTGCTACTGGACCTAGTCATTCTGCCTGTATTGACAGTAAGTAACGTTGGTTTCTTCACTATTGAATATATTGATCGAGTCAAATTCTGTCTACTTCAGGGTTCAAATAGGCTGTGTACATTTTTTTAGGCACATTCTTTCAAGTGGATTTTGGTCCCACCCAAGGAAAACTGTTTTTAATAGCCCAAACAGAAATCCTTGGTACAATATGAAATAGGATATACAGCAAAAAATGTACATGGTCATGAAATCTATTTAAACAGTTCATGTTCCATATTGAATATTATTTTCTAACTTGTCTTGTTTTATATAGGCTAAATCATCTATTGTAGTTAATGCCTTTTCTTTAGATTTTGGTTTCTTATATACATTTGGTAGTAATAAGTATGGACAGCTAGGTTTAGGTGATTATAAGAAACGATCAACATTATATCGTGTTGGTGGTGTATTAGCTGGTAGAAGGGTAGAAAAAGTATCATGTGGTGATGGATTTACTGTTGCTGCTACTGATGGTAGGTCAAACGCCATCTTAGCTGTTTTCTTTTTTATTTCCATTTGTTGAGGGAACTTTGACAAACAAAGCTTAGGTTTATCTTGTCCAATCCACACAAGATTTTCCCTGTCAGTAACTCCAACCTGCATCACTGACATGGTGAAACTGGGTTAAAACAGAATGCTCTTAGCACACCTAGGCTAGAGAGCTGACTTTGATCACTATTCAAAAAGCATTGGAATGATTGAATTAATAGTTCTACAAATAATATTCAATTGTTTTGATTACATTAGAATCAGTAAAAGATTGGCAAAATGTCAATAAAGAAATGATAGAAAGTGCTGGTATAATACTGCAAGAAGCTGACTTTTTATATTTCTGATCACATGGAATAATAATAATCAGTATATTATTTCAATTTTACTAGCACCAGAATATTTCTTTCAGATAATCAGATCTATTCATGGGGTCATGGTGAAAATGGTAAATTAGGAGCTATATTTAAAGAACATGGACAGAAGAGTAGTGTCAAGTGTACAGCTTTACCTAGACCTATATTTGGTTCTCTACATGTTGTACCTTGTTTGTCATCATATCATTGGAATAATATTATTATAGCAGGTTAGTTAATAATTAGCTTAAATATTTTAGGGATTTATAGGAGAATAGAATAGAATTCATCTTTATTACCACACTATTCGTACTTGATTTGATAAATGAATAACATCATTTCTGTATTTTTCTGTGACTGCATATTGTTAATCTGCTCTTTGTGTATTTTATGTTTTCATGTATAAATCTGATCTTTATTCATTGTGTCGTCATTCCTTTTTTGATTCTTGAACTTCATCTGTCTGATTTGTTGACATTGTCATCTATATTTTTTACAGAAAAAGTCTTGAATCAGAAAACACTAAAACCTCGAGTTTCTTCACCAAAATGTAAGTTTATGTCTAATATTCAGTAGTTATGTAATTTCTGAATTTTTTTGTAGATTAAACTGTTTTTCAGTTAAAATGTTCATAGGAAATTAATTTAGTTTTACTTATAGTTCAAAATGTCTATATTCTTCTGTATCTCTTTAGAAATATCTCGCTTCATGCTTTAAATGTTTTCTAGATTATCTCAATTTCTTACAATTCTATTCTGTTGTTATGTCTTATTTAGATAATATATTTAACAATCCGAAAGGTAAGTGTTAAAAATAGTAAACAATAATATCTAACTGATCCTGCATGTAAAACTTTGTTAACACTAACAACAAATTTACGCTTTGTTCATTATGCAAGGCAGTATTATTATCATTAAGTTTGATTAACAAAGAATTTGTTTTTGGACTAATTACAGTCATTGAAATATGAAATACATGATTGTTGGACGTGGCCATTTTTGGATGTGTTGCATGATAAAATTGCTAAAGTAAAATGTATAGGTATAGAGAATATCCAATGTGGGATCAAGGGTAAAATGTCAAAAACTTGTTTGTACTGCACTTGATAAAGCAAGATTATTTGTTATGAGTTGCCTCCAAAAGCTTTGCATGTTTATATTTAAACAATATACTCAAACTTGGTTTAGATGGATGTGAGTACAATAATAATAAATATAAAACAAATAACAAAATCACAAAGAAATCATCCAACTAGACCAGTGATTTTTAACATTATATATATCCTTTAAAATCTAAAACAGATGCATGATAACATTGTGTTTATAATATTATCTGTTAAACTGCTCTGAATAATTTATTATACATGAAATATAATTGTGATATTCAAGTTTTCTTGAATAGTTTGTATTTTTATCTGCATGAAAGATACGAGTTTGAGATACAAAGGATGAAAGCTGCAATGTTAAAAGAAAAGCTAACCATATCGCTCTGGAAATGTTCCCTCAGAATTCTCAAAGTTTTCAGCAAAGTTAAGAGTTAATGACAATTTCATAGTCTAGATTGACTCAGAAATTGAATTTTTCTTTCAGATTTGGATATTCATTGTATTAAATAAATTTGATATTGTTATTACAGCTGTTATGACTCCATTTGAAGCTGTACCTGAAGATAGTGCATTTGTAGAAGGAAGTCAACAGTCATCTCCAGCTGTCAGCGAAGATAATTTATTATTAACATCAGACTCAAGTAATCTCACATCACCGCCAGATTCTAGACCTTCATCTGGTACCAAAGATCAAAGTTTTATACCACCTTGGTTAGAAGCAGTAAGTAATGTTGTTTTATACCACCTTGGTTAGAAGCAGTAAGTAATGTTGTTTTATACCACCTTGGTTAGAGGCAGTAAGTAATGTTGTTTTATACCACCTTGGTTAGAGGCAGTAAGTAATGTTGTTTTATACCACCTTGATTAGAGGCTGTAATTACTGTAGTTATATACCACCTTGATTAGGCTCAGTGAGTTAGACGCTTGCTCGCTAACCTGAAGGTCCAGGGTTCAATCCCGGCATAGGTCAAGGTAATACCTTCGTATTTTTCAACCCGGTTTCCCCGTCGGTGATGCAGGTAAGAGGGGCTGACATGGAAAAAGCGTCTAGTCGTTCGGATAGGACAATAAACCGAGGCCCTGTGTGCTACAGGCTGTGCATGTTAAAGATCCCTCGACAGTTGGAAATTGAAAAAGAGCCAGCTAATGCCGCTATCCTGGCAAAATTTCCCTCATGGCACCATGCCCGTCTTCATTAGCCCAAAATGTGCACAAGAGTAGGACGTAAAACTCCATTCATTTCATTTCATTTGATTAGAGGCTGTAAGTACTGATGATGCTTTTCTTTGGGGAAGTCCACTACTATACAACTTTTACTCTCGATTTTCCCATTCTTTGGACGAGATATTTGACAGAATTGTTTTGCTTGTACGGGATTTTTATTATATACTTACAGGCTGTAGTTATATACCTCTCTTGTTGGTGGCTGTAAGCACTGAAAGTTTTTCACTTGGTTATTTATTTTGAAATTTGATATGAATTTTAATGTTTGAATTACTTTCATAAATTTCTTTGTAACTTCAGGAACTCCAAGAAGCTCAAATTATTCCAATGCCAGGAAGAGAAAGTCCACAAGTGCTGAATGGTATCAACAGTCCTATATTAGATGATAAAGAGGTTAGTAAAGTTTAAGTTTGTAGGTTACTACATTGGTTCAGAAGTAGAACTTGATAAGATACATAAAATCACAATAATGATTATTGTATTTTAGATATTTGGAAGAACAAAAGAAGAGAAAGATATTTTGATAGCACAATTACGAGCCAGAGTAGAAAAATTAGAATCTGAAAATCACAAGGTATGTTTTTCATTCATGAATACTCATTTTTGATAGTTTTCAAAAGGATGACTTTAATCTTGTAAGCTTTCTTCCTTTTTTTTTTATCCAATTAAGACAGCTTGCCAGGCAAGGTATAACACAAACGCCAGCAGTTTTGATTATAAATAAAAATATTTGACAGTACAGTAACAATCACCAATATGAAATATTTCATACACATCTTTGGAACTTTTTGGGGCGATAGATACTGAATAATATTACCATGGCTTTAATCAGGCCTCAAAGTGTTTACAGCCAAAATATTGAATGTGTTTTCAAGAACAAGGTCAATAACTCATCATAAAATACCTTTTGATTTTCAATAGGGTTCATCCATTGGTGGTAATAAACAATTTTAACAAGCTTCGTCTAAGTCTGTCGAAAATTGTGCGTTCTAGTGTGTTAACAAGCTAAAAACTCATACTAAATATTTTCCATTTTTCGGATTTTCAATAGGGTTCATTTTTGAGTGAATCATACACTCACAGCAAGTTTCGTCAAAATCCGTCAAGAATTGTGTTTATGAGCTATTGTGGACGGACAGACAGACATGGGTGACGCCAATATTTCATGTTGGGGTATGAAAATGAAGAGAACAGTAACAATATATATATTTATTTATTTCAGTTGAAAGAAACAATAGAGAAACAGAGGCAATAAATAGTAAGAAAATATCATCTCGACATACAGAGTATTAATGGTTTGAACTAGTCTTTTATTAATAATATTAATGGTAACAACTGTTTAAGTTGTATGTGTTGTTATAGAAAATATGTCTAGAATTTATAAGGCAATATGTGGCCAAGATGTTCAGTAGTCAATTGTCAGGTTGCGTAGAACACTCCTCTATTTGGAATTGCCAATTTCATTTTAAAATTTGATACAAGGTTATTTTGAGGTGCCACAATCAATTCATTCAATCCATCTTTGAAACTTTTACAGTATTTGTTTAAGGACACAAATTTTTTTTCTTAGGTGCCACACTTTCCATCCATCTTTTTACAATTTTACAGTAGATGTTTTAGGGCACTCTTTGTGTCACATGTATTCCATTTATTTATTTTATTTTTGTTTTATAAATTATACAGTAGCTGATGTACCAATGGTTGTTTAAGTCACATTTAGACTTAATAATTTAAAATTGTGTCTTACATCAGCTACTGTAGAATAAACTGTGATATATACAATGTTTATTAATTAAATTGTGATCATGTTATACTTTGGTACAATTATATACAATAGAATATGTTATAAAAATGATATAACAGGAAATAATTAAAATAGAACTTTAAATAATATATTTAACACCAACAGGAATTAAAACTGGAATGTGACCTTACTCTTTAATGGTGGGTAACAACACAATTAACTTATAAGTCACTAATCAATCTATCAGTTTAAAAGGTTTATGAATTCGATAAAAATTTTCTGTAAGAGTTGAGTCCATTATTAAACACATAAATCAACTGCCCTCTATTGCGTTCCAATCTATGCCATTAAAAAATGGATGAGATTTAATAGCTTCAACACCATCTATACTGGATCCAAGTCTTTCTTTTGGATTAAATCGTAACAACTGAAAAAGATTTGAAATTACTATGACTATCAGTCACATATTCCCACAATGGCCTTTTTCAGTTTCGCACTTTCCCCTCTTTGACTTGAGTATGTTCCTGAAAGATTGAGTATGTTCCTGAAAGATTAAGCTCGTTTAGAGACATAAAACAATATTCTGTATCAATATTTAACAGTAACCATACCTCTTGAAGAAGACCTTGTCCTTCTTGTGATACATGTGATGGGATGTATAAATTAGTATGTGAGTTAATTCCCCCTGGATGACACATCAATAATGTCTACAAATAGAAATATACACATAATTTTAACATTAAGGTATGTTTAAATTTAACATATATAATCTTGGTGAAGATCATTTGGATTTGGTATGCAAAAAACCTCTATTGTTTTCCATGTAGATTTTATTGAGCTTTACTACCTACTTTTACTTTTTTTTACTTACTAATGTGGGAAATTTTGCCAGTTGAGCAGCATTAGTTTCCTTTTGTTTCATTTCCATTTGTCACACTATTCATAACATGCATCAGTAAGATGAACCACTATGTTGATGAGAATGCATGCTCTTTAAGACTGATATAAAACTTACCTGGCCAACTAATAACTCATAGAGAAGAGCTCCTAAACTCCACCAATCACAAGTTTCATCAAAACCATTTACAGACAAAACCTCTATAATGTATCAAACATATTTACACATTCTACAATCATTGTAGGAAGAAAATGAACATGCAAGAAAAATCCAATAGCCATTAATTCTTCCCCAATCTTCCAAAAAATATCTGTCATAGAAAAACTGTAAAAGTGTAACATAACTAGTATATCCATTGCAGATTATATATTTAACACTAAACATGGCACCTAAAGATATATTACCTGGAGCAACATACAGTTCTTCTGCTGCTTCTTGGTTTATGACCTCATCAACTTGTGGTAAACGTGAAAAATATGTTAACATAATATGTCCATTATCTCCTAGTAATATATTATTAGGATTAAGATCTCTGAAATAAAGTTATTTAAACTTTAAATGTATTCCTTTCTTTTTTGAATCACTGGAGAACCATAAAGGAATAATACTGAGCCTTATTCTTTGTGCATTGTACTGCTCTAGTCTTAAAGAAGGGTAGAATTGAGGAACTCACTGAACTGAAGTTGCATGGCCCAAGAAGACTAATAACAATTATGAATGTCAACAATTTCATATTGGACTATTTTTCTTGTTCCAAAGTATTGCTTTGTTCATCTGAAGATTAGCTATTAAGTAATTTATAAAGCTTGTCATTTGTTTTAGAGGGTGAGAAAAAGTTTTATTTTAAATATTTTTAGATGAAGGATTAAAGAATTACCTGCAAATGATACCAACATGATGTAATTTTGAAACAGCCACTACAATTTCGGAAGCCCATTGTCTTATACAGGATTCTAATAGTTTAACTTGTTCAGGTTCAACACAATCTAAGCGATCAAACAAATTAGATACAGCTCTAGCACGATTTTTACTTGGTGATTTCAGATCACATTCAAATGAAGCTGATCTAGTTAGAGTTTTAGAATTCATTCGACTTAAAGTACGTTTTCTTCCTGTATGGAGACTAGTATTGATATCACTTGAGTCAAGTTTATATTGTGGAGAAGAACTTATCACAGTGTCATTATCATTAGTTTTTTCACAATATTCTAATCCTTCATTATCACTAGCTGTAACAATATCAATTGTCTTTAGATCTGTTATAGTTGACTCATGGATTATTTCTGCTGAGACACGTTTTGAATCCAAACCATCACTTGTTTCACTACTGTCATCAGATGGTTTATGAAGATCATAAATACTTGCTTCTTCAGAATCATGTGACACATTAGCACTATTTCCAGACAGTCTTTTTGACTTTACCTCTTTATTAAAGACACGATCAGAATCAGACAGAACCTTATCTACTGATTGAATTAAGGCTTTAGATGATCTGATGATATCATTAGCATCCTGATCATCAGCTTGCTGATCACAGTCAAACACATCATCAGAACTGGGTGAAACAACTGCTGAGGTTATATCATCTAAACTTGGTATTTCTTCTGGTATACTTGGTATATGTTCTGATGTACTAGTATTACTATCCATTCGCTGGTATACATCACTATTACTATCAAAACTATTGATAGTAAAATATTGTAGTGATTGGTTATTATTGTTTAGTATTTCATCAAATTGATCATCAGTTACATCAGATGTTGGTTTCACAACTGTATCATTCTCATCAAAAGTTAATTCAGCTGATGAAAAGGATGATAATCTTTTCTTCCGTCTCTGTACATTAGATTTCTCTTCCTCAGTGGTATTATCTAATGATGTCACTTCCTGTGTGAGGTCTTTATTTTGTAATGCTGTAAAAGAGATTGGCTCACTCGCATTAAACGATTTAGTTTTAGGTTTAATGTCTTCAGTAGTTTTCACATCAGATGTGCCAATATCAGTTATGGTTTCTGTAGTTAGTTGATGGCCTGTATACACATTTTTAGTTTCTGTTCCATCACCACCAACAAGTCCATCATCAAAGCCACTATTAGTTCTACCATGTAAATAAGCACCAATATAGTTCCACAGTTTACCCCCAGAGGCATATTGTAATAACAAATAAACAGCATTTTCTGTTTCAAAGAATTTTAACAAATTGCACATATAGGGACTTGATGTTGGCAGTAAGCAGGTTTTTTGGTCTAATACAGCACTTGATTTATGAACAGTCTGAAATAATGAGAACAATGAACTCACACACAATTGAAGAGATCAATGATTTAAGCAAAAAGGACACACAAAACTTAATTATATTCTTAAGGTAACTTTAAAACAGGATGCAGCAAAGCCACTGAGATGGTCATTGCTTTGAAAACAATGTATTTTGTTTAGTTTTTAGAAGTTTAAAGGGTGCAAAGAATGAAGCCCAATTTTGAAAAGATTTGACCGCTTAAACCTTTGTTAGGTTCTGTTACACTGTGCTGTAATGTAATCAAATTGAAAATCTTACCTTTATAACAAAAGTTTCATCTGATAATTTATCCATGACTAAAATAACATTATCAATAGTGCCTAATACTTTATAATTTCTCAGTTCACACAATGAACCTCTGATTAAGGCAAATGATGGGTCTAAGTCTAAATTAGGTGATATACAACTACTAGCCTACAATAAAAAATATATAATTTAATTCCAATGAAATTAAAATGTGAAATAATAAATAATTTTGAGTTGCTATTCAAATAGTGCACAAATTTGAAAGAAGAAGTAAGATGACTGTAGCTACAGTTATATATATATATATAGAACTGTAAGTCCCTCTAAGCTATCTAACCACATCATTCATTACTTACAGCCCATCTAAAGTCATCAAGACTTTCCTTAGATAAATTATTGTTATATATTTCTTCAGCACGTAGTAAATATTGAGCAGTTTTTCTTCTTACAGCATCTTGTCTGTATCTATCTGTATCGCCTACAAATATCAAAAACAAGGTGAAGTAACAAGTTGTTACCTAGCAAGATACATCCACTTTCCTGATACATTTTCAGTATATCAAGGGCAGTCACCTATCTGTGTAATCATACCAAAAATCTAACGTTTTTACTTAGTCATGGGCAATAACTAAAAAAAATGTTCATTGAAAAATCATCAATTTCCAACTTAACCAAGATCTCATTATAATAGATGATCACGCCAGCTTTCATCAAATCAGATGAAAACTATGTCAAGGGCAATAACTCCAAGACAGTTCATCGCAAAAATCGTCAAATTCAAACCAAGATCTCATCAATATAAATGATCACACCAAATTTCATTAAAAATCAGATAAGGACTGTAGTCTCTATCATGTTCACAAGCCAATTGTGGACAGGCAGGGGCGACGACAATAGACAACCACATTATAATGTAAATACCTTGAACACCTTGTATAAGTACATCAACGCCAATTTTATAATAAGCAAAGGCCATTTCATAGTTTCCATTGCTTTCACATTCTTGAGCTAAACCAATTTGACTAGCAGCTACTACTAAGTAATCTCCCTTGCTTTGTGTTAATGATGATACACTTGTGTTGGTATTTGAGCGTTTTTTAACAGCCGGACTCTGACATCTTGGTGTAGATCCACCAGATTTTGGAGTAGATGGTAAACTGATCTGAGAATTAACACTTCCTGTTCTATTACTGGAATTAAACAGATCAATATCACCTCTACCACATTCAATACCAGATACAGAGCGCTGACGCAACGGATCAAATTCTCCTAAATCTAACGTAGCATCTCCATGTCCATGATGAGATGTATCTAATAAATTTTCAATACTGGTTCTAACAGAGGATGTTCTAGAGTTGGAATTAGAGTCTCTTGTTAATGTATCTCCTCTATCATCTTTCACTAATTCATTATCTAACACTGGTTCATTATAGTTAATATTTAGCCAGTCTCTAGTTTTAATTAAATCACTAAAATCATTAGACAGTATAGGGTCAAACACAGCTAGATCTGCATCTTTGAGAGGAGTCCCAAATGACGATTCTAAATCTGTATCTTCACCAGTCGATGATCCTAAACTTATATTGTCTGGTATTTGAGGAAAGTTCCAGGTACCTTCTAGAGGCTTTGATCTGAAAAAGTAAATATCAAGAATTGAATGAAGGCAATGACAGGCAAAGGCAACATACAGTATGTATGGGAACACATTTACATTAATCAAGTAATGATAATCTTTATCTGATAAGATATCATTATAAAGAATCTAACAATGTTTTAATTACTATGGTGATATGGACTAAGTTGTGTATAAAATGTTGGTCAAACTTAATTAAAAACTCAAATTTTATGTCACAAAAAAACTGAAAACAACAGATTCAGATAAGCATTCTGTACATAATATATTTAAAGACACAGTTGTCTATTTTAGAGATGACAATCCAAAGTCAAAAGATTTGTCTTCTGAAAAGTGGTATGGCCAGCTATTAGCTAGTTAAGCTGTATTGCTAGTAACAGAAAATTTTACTCATTTAAGAAAGCTGGTAAAAGTGTACAATCAAAATGTAGAAAGATAAAAGAAAACTCACTGTACATCAAGTGTATCTGTAGTACGGGTGCTTGTAGAAGAATGTTGTCTAGATATAGAAGTACTTGGTACACTAGTGCTCTCTGTTACAGTAACAGTCTGTAGGATATCAGGTGGATCACCTGTATTATGTACACCAGATGATAACAAATCTATTTTATTTGGAGCTAAAATACTGTTAGTCTCACTGTAAAATGTTGATGCTGGTAGTATCTTTCCACCCTTAAATCATATTTCATATTAATATAACATAAATCAAAAATCATTCAAACATTGATTCAGTATTGTTTAAGATTAGTACTAGAGGTCAATACTGAACTATAAATTAAGCAGACCCACATGTTAAGAAATTATCCATCATCAGGACCAACGAAAATTCAGCTTGATCTTCCTGTACTAAGACAGGCAAAATTGATATTGGCTTTAAGCAATCTGAAGTTGATATCACTAATGTAGCTATGTTAGAAATATAAGACTACCTCTAAAAATTTCCTTAAAACATTAGAATTACTGAGATGAGGTTGTTCACTAATAAATCTTAACAATCTTAAAGCACTTTGTCTTCTTTCTTCAATGACAGATTCTTCAAATCTTCCTATAATAAAAGATAGACATTAGGCCTATAATGATTAGATAAAATGTTAAACAAATGTAAATATCCATTCTCTTTACAAAATAAGCCTTGTTTCCCAAATATAACTTACGTAAATTACATTTAATAGATAAATATTCATTATAATCAAATCATTTAGCTAGTTAAATTTCAGAGTCTTTTACATGCATCAAGTTAAAAGGATTGTAAAGAGGATTTCTAAATTTTGTTTTGGCTTATTGGGGACACTGATAGCATCAATTTGCACCAGTCCAATTATCAATCTGATGTCGGTGGTTCCTGCAATACCACTAAATTTAAGTGTTTTATGACGTCACCTCCATAAAATTTGCTTGTATCCCAGATACACATACAAAACTTAGAAAAACCTCTTTGCACATCCCTATAAAATTAAATTACTGCAATACTAAACATACCAAATACTTTTGGTTTAGCAAATTCAGGAAATTTATCTCTTCTATGCAAAGCTCTATGTAGTGAAAACATTGCTTTAAACAATTGTTTAAAATCATTATATCTCTTCCATACAACAGTCTAGAAAAATAAATTAAACAGAAGTCAAGTTTTCATACGTTAATTTATTTTTCTCTAGAATGTCTTTAATTTAAGTTCTATTTATTGAATAACTAGTACTCTGTCATAATTTGTGTTCATTTGAATTCCATGTTCATAAAAAATTTAACATCACAGAGTCAAGAATACATGACTATTTTACTGGTATTACAAATTTAATGACCCCAAAATAAATGAATAAGTTACCTCTGTTAAACTTTCTGGTGAGTTGATCATAAATACCTAAAACATATCAAAAATTATATATTGATGGCAATATTTCTTCTTAGATTATGACATAATGCATTATGCCTATGATAGTTTTCAAATTTTATTTTAAAAAAAAATCATTTTTCAGATCTATGAAAGTCAGGAAAGATAAGTACATGGAGATCTGCTTACAACATTATCCAACAGAACCGGAAGATTTTTGATAAATAATGAGAAATTAATACCTTGCAGGTAACTCTATAAATTGTAAATCCATTCGGATGAAGTTGAGGATCTGTCACATCAAAAAACCAAATTTTGTCTTGTTTGGCTTTTGTTGCCATAATCAGAATTAGCCTATAAAACGAGCTCTACAGTCAGATTAATTGCAGTTTGAACACGGATAATTCTTATAGGTTTGTCATATATCTCCACCATCCACGACACAAAACATGATTACAAAATCCAGATTGTAAATCAATTTTACAACTTTCTTATTTTATTTTTACTCCCCGGATCCAAAAGAGCTTGAACCTTCCCACCGAATAGAAATATCTATATTCGATTCTGTCAGATACAAATTAATAGAGGTAGAATTAATAATATTGTTTCATGTACACATAAAATATGTAATTTTTCCTTCCTGATGCAATTTATTTCTAAGAAAACCTTGCATTTTGCCCACAAGCATAAGGTTTGAATTTCATAAGACAGACAGAAATAACAAATTTAGACAAATAAATTCGAATATAGCAATGTCGTACTAAATCAACTTCAGACATAAACAGGTGCCCGATACTAATTCTGTCTCTAATATAGAAGAGTTCCATTTCCTGTCATCAGTTTTGTTTACATTTTATTTCTAAATATATAAATCCAATGTGAATCACCGATTGGAGAATTAAGTTCACCACAATTGAAATTATCTGTACTTTAACGACAAAATGGGTCTTTTAACTATCTTGAAGAAGATGAAGCAAAAAGAAAAAGAAGTTCGACTTTTAATGCTGTATCCTTTTTCTTGATAACTCTGTCGAGTCAGACCATGCCGGCACCATAGAACTTTATGATGGCAGGCATTACTTATATTTTCAAAAGTCACAGTGGTGTTAGAATAAAATTCAGTCTCAACTAATCATAACATTGACTAAGGCTTTCCTCCTCTCCCAAAAATTACATTTCAAAATTTACATTATTTATTTCCTGAGAATTGCCCTTTGTATTAAGTTAAGCAGTCAAAATTCATTAAGTTCTTAATTCTTAACTGTAACAGTGGTTTAGATAATGCTGGTAAAACAACCATCCTGAAGAAATTTAATGGTGAAGATATAAATACAATTTCACCAACACTGGGCTTTAATATCAAAACATTAGAACATAGAGGGTGAGAGCTTTTATAAAATCTGATTTCTTTCTTTTAATTTAATTTATTCTGTTACATATTATTTGTCACATGACATGTCATATGTTTGTGGAATATCCTAAAACCTATCCTTTTTACCAGTACTTATCAGGTATAATATACTATAGGATCATAATTACCATTTTTCATTATTATTTCAGTTTTAAGTTAAATGTATGGGATGTTGGAGGTCAAAGGTCATTAAGATCATATTGGAGGAATTATTTTGAATGTACAGATGGATTAATATGGGTAGTGGACAGTGCTGATAGAATGAGATTACAAGATTGCAAACAAGAATTACATTCATTATTATTAGAAGAGGTATAGTGGTCAGGTTTTCTAAACCAAATGGCTTCACTTAGTAATTTATCAGATAGCTTCTTCACTAGGAATAACATTGTGCTTACAATGTTTTCAAGACATCTCAGAACGAATAAAAATAAATTAGTTATTTTTTAAAAAAGAATCCACATACATAGTGTGATTTAGATGAAATAAACACAGTAATACGTGGTGGGATTGCAATACAGAGTTAAAATATGACTTTAACTTTGATTCCAGAGATTAGCTGGTTCAACATTGCTGGTTTTTGCAAATAAACAAGATTTACCAGGTTCACTTTCTAGTGAAGACATTCGTAAGGTACGGTAATAAAAAATGTTGTTAATATCTGTGTAGATGGCAAACATTGTCAATATGAAACATAAACGTCTTCCATTAAAGGCATTATAAAGAGATTTTTTTATGCGATAAAACATATTTTGCAATAAGAGATGTCATCAAACTATTAGTTTTGGTGGAATTGCAGAAACCACAGATGCTATCAGTGTCCCTGATTCACAAATTTTTTAGAAAACCTCTTCCAATAATGAATAGTGTAATATATTGTCATTTGATAAAAATTTGAATGTTCCTTTGAATCTGTTCATAACAATGCAATATAATTTGTTTTCAGACGTTAGATTTAGATAATATTAAATCTCATCATTGGAGAATTTTACCATGTAGTGCTGTCACAGGTGAAAACTTATTAGATGGTGTAGATTGGATTATAGATGATATAGCATCAAGGATATTTACCATGGACTGATTATTATCTGTTTACTAGTAATTCAATAACTGTGATATTTTGAAGAAAAAATCTTTATTAATTTACAACATCAATGGAATATAAGACTTTTTTGACTTTCTGAACACTATGAAATAGTCTTGCTGAGATCTGTCATATTCCATTTTCAGATTTTCAGATTCTGATTATCATCCTTATAAGTTCAATAAATGGAAATCTTGAATATTTGGTCAGTTCCACTCTATTGTTCAGCCACCTAAAAGTATGTTCCTTTATCTCCCAAAAAGTAGAATTGAAAACCATTTTCAAACCAATTGTTCTGATGATGGATTTTTCTATCAGAAACTTAACATAAGTTGAGCTTGTGCCTTTATTGATATCATGATATATTTAATTTAAGTGCTGTAACTGTGCTATCTAAACATCCTATTACAATTTCAGTTTCATTATCATCATCAATATCACCAGTATCTATTGTACTAATCCAATCATTGGTCTCATAATTACATACAACCTGTAATAAATAATATTTGTCTGATTTTATGACATATTTCCAACCCTATGCTTTGTGTTTGAATTAAAATCCATGATAAAAAGTGAGCAAGTAAAGAAACATGTTGAAAATCCTTAAAAATTGCTGACAGCATCCATGCATTGGATTTGTTTAACGGGATCGTTGGTTTATTTGTGAACATGCCTCAGGAAGTTTAATCATGTTACATAATTAATGATGTATATTTGATATTTTTTAGCCAAAGTATCAAATTTAACAGATAACAGATACCTTTCCATCTTGAAATATAATTAAAGAGTTAGTATGACCACAACATAATAAAAGGTCTGTCTCTCTTTCTGGTTGTTTTAACACTGATAACTGAGTTATAGGACATTTACAGTTAGCATACTCATCTATAGTTATCTGAAATATAAAATTATCAAATCAGAATCCATTTCACTTCCATTTCTATAGTAGATCCAAACAAAACCTTCATTCCACAAAAACATAATAAACTTTTCTGTACATGTTATAGACAATAGACATCCCAAGACTTTACTTCCATGTGGTAAAGTTGCTGGGAGAATTCCAGGATTTTATTCTATTGTTATTTCCTTCCATATTAATGAAATATTTTTTACTCACTGAGAAATTGTGTAAAATGTAAACAGCACCAGTTTTAGAACCCAAGGCAACTTGTTGTGAAGGTTTAGGTGTGGTGTCTGTATTTTGTTGAACAAGTCCTAATGAACTGTTACTAACAAAACGACCAGCTACCATCTAAGAATCAAGAATATAATACATAGAGTAAATTAAACAATCTCAATTAAAACTACTGAGTGCCTAACTACTGTAATATGTGCTCCCAAAACATCTGATGTTTCTCTGTGACTATCAATCAATCATCCCCGTTAAGGAGCCCAAATAGCTATAAGTTTTATTTACCCAAATTTACACAATTTTTCAAATCAGCCCATTGAACATTTCCCTCCAAAAGTGGATTGCTGTTTTTCAAAAGAGTGTCCTTAAATTTATTTTTCCCAGCTACATTATCAACTTAAGTTTTAATACTATTAATAATACTTACTGCTGAAATAACTGTTGGCGCTTTTAATGACATAACAACAGTGCCTTGAAAAATAACATGTATAAAACAGGAACTCTCGGCCACTAATAAATAGGTCTGTGCCACTCCTGACAGGTCAGTCAAGTCTGTCACTAACATATTGGTCACTGTTACTAAAGGACTGGAATCCTACAATGATATTATATCATTAGGTTATTATAAAATCAGTGCTAATGCATTGCTTTCAGTATTGTATGCATTGTTATAAAATAATAGTCCCTCATAGAGTCAGATTTGCTTGTAATCAATATTGTGGGATACAAATGTCAATACTCTCAACAAGGTGTATAATGCTAAGATACTGTATAAATCAGCATTACATAAGCCAAAGCAATTTCATTCATGGACAATTTGGTGAATTTAATTCTAAATCATCTAACCTCATTTTTGTGAGCATCATTAAAATTGATTCTCCATAATTCTTCAGTAGGTAAAGAAGCTGTGATGACACCAGAATCTGTAGCTGTAATAATTTCACTACTACCACCTTAAAATAAAACATTTCCAATCACATTTCAGTTTCAGGCATTACTGAATGACATATAATTTAGATAATTGTTGTTGTAATACATTATTCCTGAACAGAATAAGCTCAAATTTTACATCAAAAAAAAAAAAAAATCTTATTTCCAGTGGAGCATTTGGTGTTTGGTTCATTTTGACATCTGATGGTATTCATAAGCTTAATTTCAGCTTTGCATATGAATGTGATTGTTACTGAACAATCTAAATAAGACTTACTGGAGTTTTGCAGAACTTGTAATGAGTTGATACAATCTGTAGATAAAAGTTGTCGATTGAGTATCTGTTTATTACAAAATATAGTTAATAATCCTTTAGAATCAGCTACTAATAGATCATTATTATAGAATTTAGTTACATCAAAAATACACATGGTCTGGATTGGTCCACCTTTACTTTCTAAAATAGCCTGAAATAAAGACGAAAGATAATTGCAAACCAAGATTTATCTTTTTATAGAAGGTTATTGTTCGTTGAATAAAAAGGCATGAAAAATAGGCCCCAGGAAAGGATCCTGATCTCTTGATAATCATTCAAAATATATCTTACTTGTTGTTTTACTGGAAATTCAAGAACTGGTAAATCATAAATACGGATTATACCATCTTCACCACCAATAATCAAACAATTTCCACTTTGTCTATTATAAATAATAGATATTAAAAAATAACATTACTATTATAATCATCACTGTATATAAATGAAAGATTGTCCGATCATCACCAAACCATAGGAATCATTCCAATCATCTCAAGTCTAATCAGCAAAAGCTATGTGTGGAATGACAGAATCTGTCACACTTTGAAAATCTACCATCTTAATGTAGGCTAGGCCTACTGTTTTCAGCTATTTCAAATTTTCTTCATTACTATCAGTTACATTCAATTGAAGCTGTTGACAAGAGAGAAAATACTTATAAGGACTTCTATCCTGTATGGCAGTTGGGTAAGCTACCTGTCTAACTTGGGACTTCATGCATTTACAGGAGGGTTCTCTAATCGACTAGGGATTTATGTAAGTGAATATTGTTTATACATTTAGAAGGCCACCCCACTATCCACTTATAAATAGTGTAGATTTTGACATATGATCAAAAGGTATTCATTCAGTATCCTAAAAGTGTTCTATAGTTAACCATAGTAAATTCTGTCCAGTGGCAGAACTGCATACAGGTCTGTTTACAAAACCCGTACCGGTACGTGTTTGTTCACCGAAGAATAGTATTATACTTGCTTGAAAATAGTCCCGATTCTCAATACATTGAATCTCTCTTTGGCTGCAAAACTCCACAAACTACTAACATTATAGCTGGTACCATGCGGTGGCAATTTCATATTTGTCGATGGACACTTGAGTTTCTCCTTGTCGGCGTCTCTTTACATGTGTACATAAATATCAACCTCCATTACAGAAGATTATTTTATATATATAGGTTTCGGGTTTGCCTTGAAACCTTTTTGATTTGGCAAATATTACTTTCTTGATAGTTTTCATTTACTACTGGAACCGATGGCCATAGAAATATCAAAACTGAACCTGGAGTTTCACGTTTTGCGATCTTCAGACAACTCAAACCGTTACCGGTAGGCTAATCGTCCCGCGCGTCATGTCTATATAGCATGCATGAGCTATTTTGATACTCTTGATGAAATAAGGCTAATATAATTGCAGTGGCGACGCATGCACGGACCGGGTACAGGAGGGGAGATAGGCCCTATAGGGTGATATGGAGGCCTTTCCCCACTAAATTTACAACAAATTTAACAATATGATTTGTATACCGTACTTCCCAAAATACCTGTCAGAGAGGATCAATAAAGCCTATGTTTTTTTATAAATTTTCCTTGTGAAAATTCCCTCACGCTCCATGAGAGGCTTATTTGCGCCTATGCACTTCCATAGAGCTGGTGCATTTTGAATCTATCCCAGTAATTTAATCTGACCCCTATTCTACCCCAAGCTGATGCTGCCAAGAATGCGACTGAAAGTATAGGCCATGTAAAGAGAGGGTGCCGGTACATGTATTTTAACATGATATAAAATTTTTGCTGGACCCGAATTGTTTGCTCTTGGATTTATACAATTAATTTTTTGGACAGAGAGGTAGAATTACAAAACATATACATACAGTCATAATTCGGATTTTTTTCGCCGTGTAGGCTATACCACCATGAAACTCTTTTAAATTAGCCTACTAATAAATGTCGAGATCATTTTTGACTGAAAGAAGATTTTGATCAAAACGAGAGATCAACATGAAAGTAAAAGTTTTTTTCATAATTTTACATAGATTTCTAGAAGCTTTATTGGTAGGTTTAAATTCCAATGCATTCGAAAGGTTTTACTCTAAATATTTGTTATACCTACTTTGTTCATCCCAATCCATTTTGGGTTGCCAGTTTGATAATTTTTGCACCCATTAGAAACTATGTTGCTCATACACAGTTGCACAAACTTGGTTAACCACCCTTCAATCTCCCTCACCTACTGGGGCCCCTCACCTCATGGATCACAGGAACACTACTGAATAGTGATCCTTCTCGAGATAAAGCATTTGCTTGATAGGCCTATTATGAATAAGGTCCATTTCTCCCTGCTAAATGAAAACAAGATAAACCAATGATTTTATTATGTATTTATACATTTTATTCTGTTAATTTGTCCATTGCTAGTTTTGTACTAAAATTTACTCATGTCAGAATAAATGCTGATCTGAAATAAAATAAACTGAACCTTAAGAGTTTACCTAGGTGATCAAAAGCAAAATAGAATGTTTGCTTTGTTTAATTCACGATATCAAATGTTCATTTCAGTTTTACAAATATTACCCATCTTAGAAGATATATCACATACAGCTCTATTATCAGGACAAGGTTGAAAATGCCAAAAACCAAAATACCCAGAAATATTTTCTTAGTAAAACTGCCTTTGATATATAAATAAATGGGTATGGTTGTATACAGCTTATCAATTTGTCCACAATGTAATATGCTAACATGTAATAAATCAATTAAAACAATTTCAATTTCATTAGAATATTTTCAGTTATTCAGAGCTGAAGAAAAAGAAATACCAAAATATATGAAATCAATATTTAAAATTCATAATTCTGAATTGAAAACTAAAGGGATCAACATTTTAATTACAAATTATATTGCCAGACATCAGCTAACCAATGTTGTAAAATGATCACACAACAATAAAATAAAGTGATGATATGTGTATGATTATGAACATTGATACAGTAAACAATATAGAGACAGCTAATAGATAGCACATCTACATAATAAACAACACAATTAACAGAAAAACTACCTTAATTTTTATAATTTTAATATCTGTGACAAGTCTTCATTTCATCACAGATTACCAAATTGCCAGAAAAAAATTGAAGGAATTAGATCAAGCCCCATCATTTATCAGTTTCACTTAATGTTATCATCCACAACTAGAGCCTAAAACTATCATAATAACTGGGTATATTTCTCAACCAAACAAAAAGAAAAAAAACAAAGCTATGAAGCATTCTTTTGACAGGCAGTGAATAATGGGACCTATTCATGGGAATACATTTGTTATCATGTATGTTTACTAAATTGTCTATGTAATCTAATCAAAATGAGTCATTGAAGGAATGAAATGTACATGGAAAATACGAACGAAAATAGTGAAAATGATAAAAGAGGCTATGATTCTGAATAAAAAGCGGACCTCTGAAAATTAAGAATTTGACTGAAAAACAAGCAACAAAAGATATAAGTTTTAAGGGATCAATGCTTATTTAAAGAAAGGTCCAGGCAGCTTAGGATATTAACTATTATGCTTTTTCATTCCTTATAAAATATGTTTGAATTCAAATTTAGTATGTTCAATGTTTCATCTTAAAGAAAGAAAAAGCTGAGATTGAGTTATTCATCAAACATTTCATTTTTTTTTAAAGTTCACTATTTACAAACCCCTATACTAGATCAGTATTGTTATCAAAAACATAAGGTAGACCTGCTACAATCTTTAATAATAAATTTGATTTTAAGTAATCATAACTGAGAAATTCTGTTCAAATGAAAAAGGTTTGATGACAGTATGGATGAAGATCTACAAGCATTATTTTTGAAACAAAAAAAACTGCATAAATTACAAAAGCTGACCAATTGAAAAGCTTTGCAATATTAGGAGATATAATGGGATGTTTTCAAACAGAAAACCAGAAGGTAATGAAAATATATTAGAGAGGAAGGCACTGATAGAGAAGAGTAATGAACTGAAAAGTTTCAATACATGTACAGTCAAAACTAATGATTGCAAATTTGAAAGGTTTTGAACAATCTGAGCCAATGACATAATAAAAGGTAATGCTGCAATAATTATTAGATCAATTCTTGTCTACCTACTAGTTATAAATATTCCAAGCCAACTAAATTCTGACATGAGACTCATAAAAAATATATGGGAAAACAAGAAATAGGACAACTATCATCATATAGGACAAGTAGGGAGTAATGCAAACTGAACTTATTTTGGAATCTTAGATTTTCAGCTTGGTGACTACCAATCAAGCCTTGATCATGATAAAACCCTTTGGATTAAAAATATGTTGTCTTGCAAGATTACCTTTTATATTTATAACAATTACTTTTACATAAAACTATCAAAGAAATATAAACACCAACTATAATTGGGGGTAAAGTAGTTAGCATTGTCAACCATTATGACATATTATATATATACTAAATATTTCTCCCTAGGCAACATTTAGAAGATAATTGCCTCACCTGTTACATTTGGATGTGCATTAATATCTGAATATTTATGAAAATTTGTATTCATCATAATTATAAAAGGTAACCATAAACAAGAGCTCTAATAAATTCTAAATAAGTTAGTATAATTGTACAATTCATAGAAATCTAAAGTTAGAAAATAAATAATTTACAAAATAATTTCATGTACCATAGAAAGAATGTTAAAAAAACTTGAGCTTTTATTCCAATCCAAACTGTTAAAATAGACCAAATATCAAACAAAATGGATAAGAAATCACCAATAAAACCAGAAATGACTGTTAAGTTGTATAAGGCGAATTGAACATGAAGTTAAGTGGCAGCTATATACTTGAAACATTAAGTTTTGCAACTATTTTCTGTTTTATATTATGTAATTGGATCCTGACAAACCTGTTCAAATTATGATTTTTTTTATACTAAATCATGCATATATCTTTCCAAGACATCAAAATCTATCCTTCTGCAAGAGTCAACTTTTAAAATGGTCCCTTTGCTTTTAGATTTTCTATCACAACAAAGACTCAAGGGTTCTTACAAATTTAATGTTTAATTGACAGATATGAGAGAATGATACTCAAAGATAGACAGAGAGAAAAATAGAATTAAGAGTTGTCAACTTCAAAACATAAAAACAATATATCAAGTTCAATTTTCTGCTCTAGTTAATGCAGATGTACATGACTCAGTTTAGAAACAAAGAACCAGAAATTATGAATCAGTAGAGAAAGTAAACCACTCCTAGATTAGAATATAACAGCAGTAAGAGTTGTATTATTAACAGTGCAGTGTACGAAGTATTACAAAGATGGAACTATGATTTGCTTGCATGAAATATCCCTGGTATGATAGGACAATAAACAAGTTAGTGCCCACAAAATGTTAATGGACTATATATAGTATTTATATTACAATAAAAATGTGTACAATTCTGGGGGCTAAAAAGTGTTTTCTTTATTTACTTTATACAACTTATGATACAAATGTACAAGTAGAAAATTTAAAACCTAATTTTTGATGTCCATACAAAGAGTAATTTCACACTACTACCAATCACATGATTTGTCACATTGAAACAATATAGTGGTATATTAACATTAAAACAATTTCCACTTTCACAATTTCACTTGTTTTAAATCATAGACTCACTCAAACATACAGACATTTAGTAATAGAATAATATATAATAATATAGATTTATCAATGTTTGACATTAGAGTTTCAATTCATTGGCTATTTTAGATGCAATATTCTTAAAGCCTATTGAAGTTCCCGATATTCTTTTAAAACGAACACCATTTAGTGAAAGTCTCGGTAATTTACAAACTTCCATTTCCCATTGCACTAGACTGTCTGTATTAGGATCACCATGTACACAAAGGAGTAGAAACTTCTCTCTTTGCTCATAATCACAGTTATTTGCATCAAGAACTTTACGAATTTCCTTCATCATATCATGTGGGTCCATAGAACTAGTTGTTTTCATACTCCATGTAAATCTCAAAGCTCTTGGTTTGACTGCTTCACCATCTTTCGTTTCGTTCACAGACCTGCGGAATATTTTGCTGAAAATTAAATAACATTCACACACATCAAAGAATGGCCAACCCTCGCAAACAGAGTTTTAGAAGCTGAAACTATTCATGTTATAATCATAACTTTACCTGTTTCAAATTTTTCTGAAGGAATACCTATAGAATAGAAGACCGAATATAACCAAGCCAAACAGATAGCAAGAACAGAATAGATTGGATAGATAAAGTTGCTCCAAATATATTCCAAAGGGTAGATAATTCAATTCAATTCATATATATTGTGAAAGAATGGGAGATTTGTGACTTTTGGTTAAACTATAATAATTTTATCAGTTATCATGCAATAATAAAATATTGGGCCATATTTAGGAGTATATTTTTTATTGGTAAATATTCATGCATTGTTTTGGGATTTTCATGCTTCATGATGTTTTTTTAAACTTTGAAAGAAATTTATTACTGGCTTTACGGACCAAACTTGAAGTAATTATATTCTCAAAAGCATTTTCACACTATCAGAAAAGAGCATTGCTTAATCAATCGAGGCTGAATTTTTACATGCAGTTTGGGATTTTTTGAAAAATAGTTGCTTTTGGTGTAGTGCAAGACATGCTTTTTTTGTGTGTAGAATTTAAATTAGTGCTTGAATAGTAAAATACTGAACAATTTACCACTGCTTACAAACAAAACACTCCAGTCACTAGTCCTACTCAGTTGTGCATCACCACTATCTCAGGTGTTTTTGAGGATTATGTCAGCTGGATCTTCAGAATAAACAGTTTTAAGAAACTATGTCAATTAATTTGAGTATTTGATTGTATGATAACAATGGAAAGTAACTAAAAGTGATATTTACTCTGTGTGAGGAGGGTTGCCATAAAACAAATCAACAATTTTTTTCTGTAACAGTAAGAGGTTTAAAATTTTTTGTTTGCACTTGTTACAGTTTCGGTGTTTGGTTTCCTTATGCTTATATAATGACTTTCATAGTTCTCAACTTGCTCAGTCTTCCTATTTTCTCCATTTGCAATTTTTCCCATAAAATAGAAATTCAGTGAACTATCATGAAAAAATATTTTTGTGAGTAAAGAGCTCTCTATAAATATAGCCTAGTTTCTCAAGGCTAAATGAAAGATTTTTATTTATGTTATTATCAAACCTAATATCTTCTTTTTGATATCATTTAGAATTGTTCAAATTCAGAATTTAATCAAAGCACCTGACACAGGTTGATTTTTATAGAGAGCTCCTTAACAATCGTGTTAGTAATATATTTGATCAGTTTAAAAGCTGAAATTTCTGAAATAAAAATCATGCTGATTAATCAGTTAGTAAAATAAAACTTCAATATAATCTGATTGAAAATAAACAGTGTTTATATCAAAGACAATATTTCAATAGATATCAAAATATACACCCCTTCTGGAATAATATAAAGATACTTTACTTGGCCAGAGAGAAAAGTCATATGAATAAATGTCTTCTTAATCTAACACAAAGAATAAATTAACCCACTACCTTAGAAAGAACTGTTACATTAGAACCAAAAGTAGGAGATATACTGATTGTGGTTACTTGTTTCTTGGACAGCAGTGATCAATTTCATTCTAAAGTAGCAGTTAATTTAGAAGCGATGTATATTGTTATTATACCCATAAATAAAGATAATCAATTGTAAAGGTATTACAGGTGAAAAGGGAAGATATTATCCAGAAGAGGTGAATTAAAGAAATAGAGTAACCACGAACCTGACAAAATGATGTTCAAAGCGATTCTGACATGCACTATTGGGGGAAGCAGCTACGGTTTCACATGCATTCCTACTAGTACTGCAATAAGAAACTATCGTTTATTCATACGCAATTTCAATTTGGAGTTGATAAACACCATCATTATAATCATGTAGAATGTATTAATTTTGTATTAAAGGGTACAGTGAGTGATGATTAAATAATTGTTAAAAATAAATTAGTTAATTGGTTTCATGTACAGTAGTCACATTTTCTTTAACCAATAACAAAATTGGCTTTATCAAGTCTGATTTTTCAAGTGATAATCATTTCGAAAATCCACTGTCAGTAAATTTCCCATTTTTTCACAAACATGAATTTTGTATTGTAAAATTAATAGAATGAATCAAATGACAGAACATTTATGAAATGAAAAATAATTCAAACTGAATATATTCATTCAACATCCAATAAGTTCTTTCACAAAATATAACTGTAAATCAATCACACAGTATTTGAGAATACAATGAGAATTTGAGTTATTTTGAAATCTGAAAAATTGATTTTAGTAGAAAAACTGGTTAATATTGTTAGTCTGAGCCTGTTCACCCCTAAATCAGATGATTAGTTGTACCTCGGAATATATTTGGAGACAATTTGTTTTGGTGAAATATTGGGGGATTTTGTATCAGATGTTTTAGCCCATTTGGTTTTGCATTTATTGCTCAATGCCTTCAAAGCAAATATAAAAGCTAGGACTATTTAACTACAAAATTTAAACAAAGCAGAAGTCAGAGAAAAACAACAAAATATCAATAGAATTGTGTCAGAGTACTTCAGAAAAATTCTATAACAGAAAAAATACATACAAACCAAAAATATTCAGGAATATTGAAGTTTGAACTCATTGTGAACTAATAACAGTGAAGAAATGGGAAATTTACAGATTTGTGATAAATAGTTTGACTGTGTAACAAAATAACTACATGTTAATAGCTAAATAGTTAGAAAAATCAATAAACTACTACTACAAACAAAATGTTTTATCTTTGCTAACTGCAAAAATAAAATACTGCATAGAGCAACAATTGTTCAGTCCAAATGGAATTTATGTGAAACCTCGCGCTTTACTTCCCTTGAGGTGATAAAGGTTATTCCCAAAAAGAGGTACAGAATTGAAATAGGGTAAAAGGTCTTATCTGACATAGGGGTGAAAGGGTCAGAACATACCTTCGACTAAATTTAGATGTTATACGATTAAAGAAAGATGGCCGTCCATCTCTTCCAATTGCTGATGAATCTTGTGTATGACCTGGCACTCCACCAGGGCCATTATAAGGACTATTGATACGTTGCTGACGTTCTTTACCATGGAATGTATTTCGTTCCCGTGTTCCTCGTGACAAGTTAGGTCGAGCTGGTACAGCTACAGATTTACCAGGTGCTGTCCTGAAACATTAAGTTAAAGTTTCAGTGAATTTTCACATTTCTGTCTATTATGAGTGCTATTTTATACTACACACTGTGCATAGGCATTTTGGAATAATAAGTGCAAGTGCTGTATAAATATTCTAGCTCATGTAAAGCATAAATGACAGCCCATGAAAATCAGTTTTTAACATCTTTAGAAATAGCAATAAAATCCAGTTCCAATTCATTAAAATACATCAAAATACTGTTGTAGCCAACACCTTTTGTTAAATTTTTTTCTTGTAGCAAACAAAAACAGGGATAAATAAAACACAAAACGGGACAAAATATTGGTAATAGCTAACATGCAGTATATATGCAGCAACAAAGAATATATATGCAGTATATATTTGAATATATTATGAAAAATTATAATTATCAATGGGTCTTGCCAGCCGATTTGTTGAGAAAGTTGTCCATATGAGACTGGATTTACAACTCAGATTTTAATTTTAAATAACAGGATAAAACCAATTTTCAAAACTGATGGTCAAACAAGACTATTCTGTAACCAACTCCTTTACAAATAAACCTTTTGTAAACCCATTCTCATTTTAAGTCTTACTTACGTTGGTCTGAAGCCTGCATCATCTGTTAGATGAGGTGATTCACCATACCTAGCAGACTGAGATATACTAGCCGACTTGACATGACCAGCACCCTTTGGTCGGGCTGATGGGCCTGTATCAGATGTTGCACTTGAGGAATTTGGAAGATGACTAAGAGAGAAAATGAGGAATATATATTTCATTGAGTATATGGGATGTTCATATAATGATAAAAAACATACTGACACAATATATTTCAACACAAGTTTAAAACAATAAAGACAGGGAAAAGTAACTATTAGCCAGGCTAAATACTCAATATTCATTGGAAACTGATATGAAAAATAAGTAAAACTAGTAGATAAACAGATCGGTAAAAAAATGCAGCCATGCCAAATATCTTCAAATACCTACCTTTCATAGCAAATATATACTCCTTATTTTCCTATTGAACATGTTTTTCTCATAGCTAAATCTGCAAGTTTTCAGATTACTAACACCATGCGGTGCATCAACAATCAACTCACCTGAGTTTCACTTACCTTATTGCACAGTTATAATATATAGATCTAGCATGAACTTTACATAAAGAGTTAAAAGAAATGATTCTAATGAAGAAAACATACAGTTTTTCATACTTTATTCTGAAAACAAATTCCTTCAGACATAATTTATGAAATATTTTCAGTTTAATATATTGGACTGTTATATAGGTTTCAATGATAAAATCCCAAAGTTCAAAGAAATCATTACAAAAAGTGAAAGATAAAGTGACTAAAAATAAAGTATCAAAAACTGTATGAGTAATTAGTACTACAAGCAAGACACTAACAGTTAATTAAAAAGATTAAATAGTGAATCTTACTTTTTAATATCCTGACCATTAGTAGGTCTTGTTTTCTCTCCAGGAGCCTGATTTCTATTATCACCTGGACTAAATGTACTACGACGAGGAATGCTGGTATTATGGTTATGACCGTGAGTTATCACACTATTATTTTTGGGTGTGGACGATGTCGATGATGAATGACCACTTCCTGTTTTCCGTGGCATCGTAGATCTTGCAGGACTAGGTGCAGTAAGCTGTAAAATATAACAATTTTCTTTAATAATCTTGAACAAATAATAATTTTATATAAAAAATCCTGCACCAAAAGTCAAAGATACAGAACCATATATACTTTACGATGCATGCAAAACACAACTTCAAAAGCAATAGCATGCCAACCAATCCTTACAGATTGCCTGCTACTTGTAGAAGTGTTAGAATATAGAATAGCAAGGTGTTAGAATGATCATTTATTATCAAAGAGAAAACAGAAAGAAAAGGGAAAACAGAAAGAAAAGGGATAACAGAAAGAGAACTGAAATGAAAATTACTAAAATCAATATCAAGACAAAAGATAATTAATTAGTAAAAACAAGTGGAAATTACTTATACAGTAATTGATTACAGAGGTTAATAATTAGTCATTATAGAAAGAGACATGCATAGAATGGAGAAGAATAAAGAAGAGTGTCATTAATAGGTATAGTATAGTCAGATAAAGCTCTTACAATGTCTGTCATTTTAGATGGATAATAAAAGAAAATATGTTATCAAGGTATGAATGTATGAAATTTAAAATGTGTGTAAGCACAGTTTGAAGTCCATGTGTTATGTTTTGAATATGCAAATGTGCATGAACACCATTGTCAAACCAAAAGTATAGATCATTAAAATGTTAAAACAGCTACTTACAACTAGAGTTTACTACATTAAAAACAAGCAGCAAGCCTAATAATAAGAGATAACAAGATTATACAGGTTACCTTTTTACCAACCTTAGGTGAATCAACCGAGCCACCTGATGGTGTTTTCATTCTTGCCGTTAAGGTACTCTCCTTAGTAGAAGTGCCATCTACAGTATGTTGCCGACGACTACTAGGGCCGTGTGGCTGCGTACCTCCTGGGCCAGTTGATCCTACAAATATTACATACAATCTTCAGATTTTTGTTATTCATAGTGTCCTACATTCATTTTGCTCTACATGTGACATCAGGCCCTTAATCAAAATGCAAATGAAATAATTTCTAACAAATAAAAAGGTATCTAACAACTGCCCATCTCTAAGCCATGAACAAATTGTGATGACCATTTTTAAAAATAGTATCTTCACCATAAATTAATAGAAAAGCATTAAACAGCAGTAAATGGTGTTACAAATTAATGTTCAGAGAAAAAGCATAAATATATTGTGAATACCTCAACCATGTGATTTGGTGCATTTATGAGAAATAAAAATTATATTTGTGCAATATAAATGAAATAGTACAACAAAAATACAACACTACCCCCACCAGTGGAAATAAAAATAAAATATTTTCTATACAAAATAAAATTTCTAATGATGACTATAAAAAGCAATCCACTGCCCTACTAAAATTAAGGTGAATACTACATTGTTACAAGACATAAATAAAGGAGGCAAAAAATTTCATAAAAAAATTGTATAACCTGTGAAAGACAAGATCTATAAAAATCTTTAAAGATTAGAAGTATAATTGATCAATAATAATAATACAAAGAATTATCTCAAATACTTCACAAGATAATATTGATTTCAGTGAAAAAGGTTTGCATTCTATTTACTTCTTTAAAAGCCATGCTTTTATTCAGCCAGGTTTCAACAAAAACAATTTGTATCTAAAATATTTTTTTTAGGAAATATTTCTTGATGTATTGGTTAATGCAAGTTTGATGAAAATCATGTGTAAAAGTTTGTGCAAGAAATGTGTTACCAGTATCCAAAATTGTGTTTTTTCTCTCAAGGAACTATTACATGTATATATTTATACAATGTATGATTCAGTTACTTCTATATTCTCATTGTAACTGGTTCTTAGTATATTTATAGATTATTATGTAAAAAGACTTTAGAATAAACAAAATTTTGGAATACACTGTTACTAGAATAGGTCATGGTTCAAACAAATTGACAACTACTAATCAGTCTTTCTTTCTTTTTATCTTTGACTCAACTTGAGATTTCCGAAAACATATATTGTAAATAACAGGTATGTTGAAAAAGATCTTTTGTCATGATATTATAACTTCTATATTAATTTCCAGTACTTGAACTGTACTTTTTTTCCAAATATTTTGAGTGAACCATGTCCTAGAATGCTACAAGCCACCAATCTACACCTACGTTTAATATTAGTATTGAACTCCCCACCGTGACTTGAACGCCGCTGTGACCTGCCTGACCCACTTGTTGCTGACTGGCTTCGCGTAACTTTATTAGGTGATTGACTATTTGCGTTATTTTCACTGTGAGGACGACTTGGTGTAAGAGGTAAATGTCGTAAAGACAAATTGCTTCCTGAGTTACTTCCCTCTAACTGAAATCATAAAACCCATCATTCAATAATCTATACACTAAAAAACACATTAATATTCATTGACTAATTAAAATAATATTTAGTTTCACTAGTTTGGTGATGACATATATTCCAATCAGTTTAAAAATATTAAATATCTTCAAAACATTAAAAACTTACATCTGTTGTTCTGCGTCCTAATAATAAATAAGTTGCCTGAATATCATCATATTTTTGTAATTTTAAAGATTCTTCAATATCTTTACGATTATATCCCATATTAACCATTGTATCTGAAAATAATATAAGTAAAGAAATGTTACAATTCAAACTTGATACCATCAATATTAGAAAAAAATTAATTTTCACATTATATGAACATTATTAAATATTCAACAATCACTTTTTTAAGCCAGATAATTTCAATTTTTCAAAAAAGAATAAAGCTCTAAAAGACTCTCTGTACCACCATTACCTTTTTTGGTGGTTAAATTGGAACTTCATTGATCAACTATAGAATATATAATTTTCAGGTGGCATAGAGAAGCTTTTACTACAAGCCCAACATATAATATATTATTTAGATAAATATAAATGGAGGGGAAGGAAAATGAAATAAAACTTGCACAATCAGTTGCCCACAGCATGCCCTCACCAAAAAGCTTCAATTACATAAAAGTGTAGGTAAATAATTTGTGAAACAAAATTAAACAACCAGGATATTAACAGGTCTTTCTACAATCCATTATGTTTAACATTCAATCCTGTATTTTACTATGAAACTATCTCTGATGCCCACTGATAGAGTAAATAAAAATAGCAAATCTTGATGAGACAATATACACCTGTATATATCCATGATGTAGGCAACTAATTGTTAACTCATGATATGATGTATGATGTTAGGTTTTGATGATTTATTTCTATACTGATTATATCTGCCTATTGTTTTAGATTTTCTCTCAATCTGAATCATCAATCATCATATTGTTTTGTTTTTTTGTACAACGTAAAAGAATTTCAGACAGATTTGAGAATATTTTAGAGTATAAAACAATAGGTTAACAGTTTCAGAATAATTTAAATAGTTAGTCAATCAAAATTTGATGATTAAGAAAAAAATTTGATGAATATTAATGAAATGATAAGATGATTTTGATGATAAATTCTATAGGTTTACTACAAGTTTTAAAGACAGGGTTATCCACACACACAAACTGATACTACACTAAAATTTCTTTAAAACTAAAAATCTAAAGAAAAAGTTTTACTACACACAATGAGCAGCAATGGAAGTGTAAAATTATTTATTAGACCAAAACTTCTTCTTCTGAAGAGAATATATGAGACTAATGGTAATGTAATTTGTTTTACGTAATGAAGAAAGATTTTTCTTCTAAAATAAAAATTAGTTTTTTAAGATGATGATCTGATATTGTAATATAAAAAGCTAAAGCAAAATGAAAACGATGAAATCTAGGATTCTACAAAAAATATATAGATACACAATAATCACAGGATTTATAAAACTATTTTACAGAAAGACTTGTTTACATGAACAATGTTTCAATTTGTAGAATCCTAGATTATTTAGTGAATGAGAGGATCAGTCAATATGGAGAGTGGCACCACAATTTACCTATCCTCTTAGTTTGTAAGTCGTCTTTCGACGGCTCAACGTAAGGCTTTAAATCTTTATCAGGGGATTCAAGGTTGATCCATCTATCTTTCATAATATTCTGATCAAAAAATAAAATTTTTAATCAAGCCTAGCGCAAATAAATAATCATCAAATAAAAAGAAAAATGGAGGGAATGACGTTCTAACCAAATAAAAATGAAGCTGAAATTGCCAATGGGAAATAATGAGCCAATAGGTTTTTTCAAGATTGGCCAATCTTCTAGGATTTGATCTATTGAGAATTTTAGTTTTTTATGTTAAATCAAGTAATCTAAATCTAGACATGAGTAAAAATGAAAGACTAAAATATTAAGATTGGTCAATCTATGTTGTAATAAAATCATGCAGGAATCATGCAATGAGTCAATCCCTCTATTTTCCTTCCCCCCACAACATAAATAACATGTACATAGATAGAAAGTGTACTTGGGTTGCCCGTTTACCTATTCTTACAGGATCATTATAATCGGGCTGGGGCTCTACATGAGGTTTGAGTTCATCATCGTCATAGCCTACATTCATCCACTTGTCGCGCATAATAGTCTGTTTCAAAATTTAAATAGGAAGAGGTAGATTAATATACATATCATATCCCATATCAAATAGATAGGACAGAAAATAACTTTCAATAAAAAAATTTTGTTTTTTAAAATGATGGGGCAACATATGCTAAATGGGAAATATGTCTTTTGAAAATCAGATTTCAACATATTTGACACACACCTAACAATCCTTATGTACTTCTTATCAAAATGCAAGATTTACAGATTTTCATGAATACAAATCCCCAATAATAAATATGATACATACTTCTAAACTTGCCCTCTTTAATGGATTTAAAATTAAAAATTTCTTTAATAAATTTTCACAATCAGTAGACATATAGAATGGAATTCTATATTTCCCTCTTAATACCCTTTCTCGTAATTCCTGAAAATAATAGTTATCATTATAATCGTTGAATCAAAAGGTAGTTAAGTACAAAATAAGTTACAAGTACATTATACAGGTACTTAACTTTCATATAGTTATATTACCCTCTATTTCTAAATCAAAATACTCAAGTTGTTCACTGTCTGACTGAGAACTTTGAGTAGTCATAGTCAACTAACACCAATCATAATGACTTTTCTTTTCATACATTTAATTAGAAAGAAAATAAGTAAACTTACTTTTAAGTTTTGCCCATCAAAAGGTAATGAGCCACTAACAAGTGTATATAAAATAACTCCTAAACTCCAAACATCTACTTCAGGACCATCATATTTTTTACCTGTAAACAAGAATTATAATTTCACATTGATTGCAGTTTCATCTTTTCACTTTACAACTATTATTTGAAATCAGATGTAATGAATACCACAACAACTAATCGGCTCTATATATTTGAATAAGATACAATATGATTTTATATTTCTTGTATTTTTGTACCATTGTTCCATTATATTCTACAGGACACTTTTAAAAAAAGAATACATGAAATTTTGACATAAAATTAATTAACTGGCTATTTAAAATCATACCTTGAAACAGTTCAGGAGCAGCATAAGGAGGACTGCCACAAAATGTGTCTAATTTATTACCAGGTACAAATTCATTACTAAAACCAAAATCAGCTATTTTTATATTCATATCACCATCTAATAATAAATTTTCAGCCTACAAAAAACAGAGACATTTTTTTGAATATGATGAACATGAAAAAAAATAAATGTAAAAGAACGGGCACAGGTATAACAATGACACTAAAACACTAAACTGTTTCACTGCAGTAAACCGAAGCATAAGATATAGAAACAACTTTATGGAACAACTATCACTGGTTAAAGTTTTATGCGTTTCGACGTGTCAGTCTATATACAGTACTTACAATTGCTAAACGACAGTTTTAGACTTGGAAGTATTAAATAATACTTGTATTAGCTAGTAAAATAATATGAACATTCAGGGTAACCCTACCTTTAAATCCCTATGAACTATATGTTTTTGGTGACAATATTGTACTGAAGATACAATCTGAAATAATAATAATAACATTGGGTAATGTTTAATATAAACATTTGATGACTGAAAAAATGTACTCAAAATGCAAGGTCCAATATCTAAATATAAACTTGTTCTTCATTAAAGAAATTAAATAATAATTAGCAATTAACCTTTTCCTATAGTGGCAGTGAATGAAATGAATGGAGTTTTACATCCTACTTTTCTGCACCTAATGAAGACGAGCAACACTATTCCGTGTGCATGAATTTTCAAGGTATGTATTTTGAAATATTTATATAATATTTATGTAATAAAGATTTGGTAATGAAGATTATTGTAGAAAAATTCATAACAAAAATAAAGTTATTAAAACACAGAAATGCCTCCCACCTTTCATTTTATGGAAAAAACGAAAACTAACTTAATACAAATAATTATTTTTTTTATGAAGCCTCTATTCACTCCTAAAAACCATGACCAAAAATTTTATCTTTGTATGGAACAAACCAAAAACCATGATGAAAATCTTTTTTAATTTTTCAAGAATTCAATAGATGAGAAAGATTAGAATTCATGTGTTAATTATCAGTGTGTGCATGTAATATCAAAACAAATGATCTACCTCTGATATCTATTTTAATACAAAATTTAGCAGGAGTCAAAGGACTCATAAACAAAATAACTCAAAGTTAAAAGTTATTTATAGCCCACAGCTTGCCACTTTAAATCTTATATCTATATTATAAATACATGGCAAGAGTAAACCTCTAATTTAACCTCAAGAACTAGGTCACAGCTATTCATAGATTTTAATCAAACTTGTTTCTACCACAAACTAACTACTGGCTACAGTTCCCATCACTTTATCTATTTAGTTAAGAGCACAATAAAATGAGATGGGCTCGAAATGTTCAAGTAAAGACTCTTTAAAACTTTTTTTTACATGGTTTCTCAAAATTCAATGATGATGTAATAACAGAATTTTGGTCAGACATATTTATGAAAGACACTTTAAAGCATTAAGGTCATCAATATATCAAAATCAATTGGTCAACAAACAACAAAAATTGCTTTTTGTAAAAAAAAAATATTAGCGTCTGAAGTCTACATATATCTATCTTTTCCAAGTAAGTTGGCCCATCTAAACAATTAAAGTTATTTAATGCTAGATAATCTTAAACTCTTTTTTCATAGTTAGACTGAACCATAAATATTTTATATACTTCTATCTTTAGAATTAGGTTAGGTTACTTTACATTTAACCTATGATGAAGATTGAACAATCCCACATGCTAGGAATTTCAACTACTAAGAGCCTGAAATAGTGATAATTTTCACACACTCCTACTAATAATTTTTTTTTTGGCTTCGTCTTTGCCGGTATATCTGAAATCACAGCATCACTTGCAATGCTTTGTCATATACATACAGTTACAACTATGTCAAAGAACATTGTTATTGACTTAAACCACCTACTGATCATTCACTTTGTTTCAATTATATCACATTTCTGTACACAATTTAAATCATGACAAAGAATGAATAAATTATCTGTGAACCTTAAATACTGCGTAGGCCAATCATTATCAGCTTATTGCAAACATAAGGATTTGAAACAAACAAAAAATATAAGAAACAAATAACAAAATATGTGATATAATGTCGGGATGTGTAATAGACTATTCAATCAGAGTTAAATCCCTGATCATATGTTACCCACATAAAAGCATAAAATATTTTTGACATAATGCTTGTTCAATCACCAAACAAAGGATATTGATTTTTTAATTAGATTATTGATTAATCCTTAATTTCAACTCTTAGTCGTGATGTCATCATTACCTTTAATATCATTAACAGATTACCGACAAATATTGTCAATTTCTCGGTTGAGAAATGTGAATAAACTTTAGATTAGCCACTATATAGACTAGTCAGATTGCAGTTTAGAGAGGGTGCCAGTTTATTGAAGGTTTCCTTCTACAGATTGTGTAGTGATTCTGCCAGTACTTTTCAAATATGTCAGTTTAAATGGGTGTCAGTTAACAGAGGTTGCGGTTTGGAGGGATTTCATGGCACATATCTAGTCAGTAATTACATTGATTGGTTTTATATGGTCATATTCAGTGTTGTTTGGTGAAATCTGGACTTTTATCAATCTAACTTGTCAGGAGGATGATTATATATGCTGTTTTTTCATTCATACATAATATTAAGTTTTAAAGAATACCAAGAAATTTAAGTTTTTAAACTTAAGATAAATACTATAAGCTTACAACAAAACTAAAGTAATTACTCATAAAACTAATGGATCTATCATCAGGGATTGTGTTTTAACACTAGTTAAGTCCACTGACCAATAAGATTTCTCTAATGGTCTAAGTTTGAGAATCAAATTATATTTTAAGAGGTAGTATTCCTTTAATATGATCAGTTTTAGTGGAGACTAATTACTAATAGCAAGTGAACCATAAAATGGAACTGTAGTAACCTGATACACTATGTTTATACTTAATAGATAATTAAGGTTGGTAGTCTATTCTAGTTTTTAACACTATTACCTCTTAAGATCATTTATAATGCTTTTATAAAGAACTTCCTGACGAATTACCTAACATCTATACTAAACATTTAGTGACTGCTTACAAAAGGAATGAAAATCTGAGTAATGTTCTTGTCTATGGTAGATTAGATCCCCTTTCCCTGAAACGCTTGGCATTTTTGAAAAATTTGTTTAACTTGTAAATCTCTCCAGAAGTAGGTAACATCTAATCAAACTGATGTACCTTATTCCAATGCTGAAATTCACAGTCCCTACTTGAGACCTAAGCCAATGCTTCTATAAGAGAATATCTCTTATAAAACCTCATACCAACCATATTCTTCGTGCTTCTACAGATTTTGTCAAGATATGACTTTTTTTCAATTAAAGATCCTCAATGTCCTATGATTCAGTAAAAAAGTCACTGTAGGAACTTTACATTGTCAGGATGTAAGCAATCAAAGGGAAACATTGGACAAAATATTCGCTTTCCGAACTGATATCCAGCTCAATTTCGGGTGGTCAAAGTGTAGCTATCAGTAATTAAAGGCTGTTCTCAGCATTATGACATTAGAATGTAAATAACAGTATGATCATGCTGTCAATTTGCTGATAACAAAATTGTTATTTTTTTTTTGCTGATAATAAAATTATTTTTTTTGCTAATAATAAAATTGTTTTTTTTTTATTTCATGTACAAATTTATGGGTATAAACAAGCAAAAGGGAAAGATATATGGGCTTAATTTAGATAATTTTTTTTTAACTCTTTATACATTTCATAGCTATATTGAGCATGCTTAATATGTAATTCACAATCCCTTTAAAGAGTATCTACATTAAGGCTGCAACGGTTAAATGTGTAAATGCAAACATTTAGGCCAGTGCCAGTTAACGTTTAGAAAACGGACAATTGTTTAAACAAAAATATTGAAAAATTGTCGCAATCCGTTTTAACGGTACTATTTCGATTAATAGAAAGTTTATAAGATATATAACCAAACCTATATATTATAAGGTTTATTAAGCTAACAAACTAAAGTGAGTTGACCTTGTTTAGCCCTTTTCAAATTTACGTGATTTGATCAATTTAACAATGTGCCACCCAAAAATTATAAACTGCAAAATGATACATAGTTGAAATTAAGCCTTAACAAATATCTAAAAGACTACATATCACTTAAACCATCGAATAACAATGATTGGATTAAAATGTAGATGTTGATGTTTCTTTTTAAATTTTATATGACCTGATAAAATAACATTGTGTTAAACAGGCTACCGGTACTTCTGGGATATTTCAATGTTCAACATTGAAAGTTTTGATTAGTTAGCAATTAATGAAGACAAAAACATTGATGTCAACCCTCATTACATATATTATATATGTTAATTTAATTCAAGATACATTAGTAACCTAACCAGTGGAAATCTTTACTAAGATTAATCAATTACACTATGTAATTAATATATTTGATTCCGGGAAAGCATGCTTACTGGTGTACAAGACACTACTTATAGAAATATCACAGTGGTTGTAAAATTCTAAATTCTTCGAATTGGTTTAAAAGGCCTTAAAATCGAGACAAAGTTGCGCCAAAGGCTGTCTACAAATTTGTGATTGACAACAAAAGAATATTTCAAAATATAACTATGCTTCTTCCATTTCAGTACTCTTATTCATACTATCACTATCAATTGATATGATCTATTATTAATAAATAACATTTTGGAAATTTTGTATCTTCAAGCCTGTCAGTTTAAGGTCCTTTACTACACGATTTGGGTTGGGCCGTAAAGTTTCCCTAATGTTTATGTAGGTCGGAGAAAATGTTTAAACCTATTCATTCGTTGCAACCACATGTTAAATTGGAACAATCATGGTGGTAAGTAAAATTTGTGTCAAATTATCTGATCAAAAATATAACTAACATTTTTTACAGGATCCAAAACCCAATCCCTTTTGGTGAAAATTACTTTTTACCACTCAAACGAAGATAATTTGCACTATTGAATTATTTAATGGGATAAATATATATTCTGTTAAGGCTGGGATACTACAGATTTAAGCCCCCAACACCAGTACACAGATTCACAAGGTGATGATTGTACACAAAAACTTGATAAAGAAATGGTCTTCTTACCTGTCTAAATTTTGCTCTTGCTTCTTTTTCTTTCATCCTTCCATGAGCAACTAAATAATCAAAAACTTCACCTAAAAATAAAATTGCATTGAATTAATCAAATAGCTTTCAATAGCATAACAGCAGAGAACAAAAATGAAAATTTTATAGAATTCAAAACCACGCTACTAAAATGGCATAAAATAAATTACATAAAAGCTAACAGTTTTCCTGGGAGAACCTTTTTTTTTTTACTTTCCAAAAAAAGCTAAATTCAAATGATAAATCGGAAAGTTTTCACAAAATAGCTGATATCTAAGTAGTATAAACTATGAAATTAGAGCAGTACCAGTTTATACCATAAACAAAATAAATTCAATATTATATACCTCCACTTGCATATTCCATTACTAGATATAAAGTTTTCTCTGTTTCTATCACTTCGAATAGTTTCACTGAAATGAAAAAAAAACAACAATTATATTAATAGAACTAATAAAGCAGTGGCAAATACCAAATGAGGCTTTACTTCGAGATCAAATCACTGACTTTTTCTATAAATGATGCAAACCCAAGAGCCTAGTTAGTAGATAATCCAATAATGAAACCGTATCAAAGCAGTGTCATTCATTCACAATTTAATTCCTGATTATATCAGTTATATTAAATAACAATAGAGACAACAAGGTGACATGCAGACAATTGATTTGAACAATTACAGGACACCTCTAATAGTATAGTATAAATTAATATTAACATTTACCTATATTTGGATGATCTAACATCTTCATAATACGAACTTCTCGAAAAAGCTGTAAAATAATAATATACAGTCAAGTAACCTAATTTCGTGGAAACCTATTATTCGTGGATTTTCGGAAAGGATTAATAATTTACATGAGCGACCTTGCGCGACCTCCACATTAGTTTGTTTTAATAAACATGGGTTTTCTCTACAATGTCAGCTAGTAGAATGAATCCAGTAGTTTCAAGCAAGGTAAAATGTATTAATGTATACTTTGACAAATACAAAATGGGGGATTTCACTTATTACCAAACATCACCATTTTTTATCGGCCGAATTTCATTATAATCCCGAGTGGTAATCGGAATTCCAAGTGTCGTCTGCTAGAATGTATTCCAACGAATGAAGTCATGTGATCAACTAGCGGGTTCCGTGTCAGCAGAAAATTTCTATGGAACACAAAGTGGGCCATATTCTTATGTTGTTTCAGTGACTTTTAGCAATAAATCACGCTACGTATCATATTTTGTCAGTCAGTATTCTTTTTTTAAATCGTGGTTCTTTGAAGGAATTGTCACTAGTTATAATGAATTGATATTAAAGATAACTACTAAGAGAAGTTGATTATACCACCCGGTATCTATACAACGTGTTTTTCTCGACTTATTTATAGATCAAACATTGTACACGAAAATAGGTGACGCATACTGCCGCCGTTGCCGAGTTGGTTGCTCATGAAATATGGGTCAAAGTGAAGGATTCATAAAGAAAATCAAAATAAACCAATTTTAATTATTTTGTAGAATATCTGAGGAAACATCTAAGACATAAACAATTTTTTTCGTTTTTTTATCTTTGACGAAATTCGGTGTTGAATCCTTATATCCACGAAAATAGGTTACACCACTGTAAGTATTAGCTTGCCAGATAAGCTAACATAAACCCACAGCAGCTAAAACTTTCAATCAAATCCATATCTTATCAATCCACACTTAGAAAAATGAAATGAAATGGAGTTTTACGTCATACTTGAAGACGGGCAGCACCATGTGGGCTAATGAAGACGGGCAACGCCATGCAGGGCACAATGAGGGAAATTTTGCCGGGACAGCAGCATTAGCCAGCACATATTCAATTTCCTACTGTCAAGGGATTTTTAACGTGCACAGCCTGTAACACACAGGGCCTCGGTTTATTGTCCCATTCGAACATTTAGCTGTTTTTTTCCATGTCAGCCCCTCTTTCCTGCATCACTAACAGGGGGAAACCGGATTGAAATCCGCACTTAAACATTTCATCTAATTGGTTTGAAAATGCCAGTTAACTATTTCGATAACTTACCTTTTGAAGACTTGATGGATTAAGTTGAGTTTTATCGATGATCTTTATAGCCACCTGGAACACAAAATAATAACTTGTAGGGGCTGTCAAACAAAATAGTGCTTAATCATAACACATTGTTTATTCAACAATGCACAAAATCTACTGTCTTAGCACTCTTGTCGAAAAACTGATTAAGTGGAATATCAGATTATGAATCTAAGTCTAAGATTTACATAAAAATTGGAATATAATCATTTTGAAATGTTTTTGGCAGAGGGCATTATGAGACCTTTTCGGTTGAATTGTAGTTCAATGTCAATAAAGATCAAACAGGTGGTCTTTGTGGGGAAAGGTAGGCTCTTAACTTCTTGTACTAAGCACTATCACCAGTATATAATTTTGATAGGTCGTTAAATTGTTATAAATAATTGCCATTTAATTTATGCCATTTACCTGTATGCACTTCAAGGTAAATTTCAATGTGGTCAACACATGAAAAATACACAATCTACCATCAATAGACTTTATTTGCGCCTCATTGTGGGGAAAAATGATTTCGAGGCTCATAACTCAAACAAGTCATCCATCTAAAACATGGTGACGTTAAATGAAGGAATAGTCCATATGACATCACCAAACATCTGCTCAATAGCAAGGAAATGTGTGAAGGTCAACTAAATTTGAAGATATCATCAAATAGCAAATTCTACTTTAAATGATATAAACTTTGATTTGTTATGAGCCAGCATGATTCGAGAAAGCAGCTGATTGACGTCAACCCTCATTTTGTTTGCGTTATGAGCCTCATTCTTGAATTAATATGGTGGCTGTTATTAATAGATATTTTATTCTCATGTTTAAGAATACATAATTTATTTTTGTAAAAATTGAGGTTTTGGACCTTGTAGACTGCACTGTCTTGTTGTAATAATAAATCAAAATCATCTGTTGAGCCTGTAGATAGGGTCAGGGCTTCTTGGACTTTTCTGTTATGTGACAGACAATCCTATGAAACTTCGAGTTGGTCTTCTCCACCTCTAAGGCACCAATAGGTAAGGCTTACAGTGGTTTCCCCCCTTTTCAATTTTCACCCTAGTGGTTTCCACCCAAATATGATTACCAACAGATTACTTATCTCTGATTAAGAATAATAAAGAAATTTATTCCAATGGCTTCCTGACATTATGTTAATCCATCACAATAATTGATAAAGATTAACAATTTTTTAATTAGTTTATTACATATTAATTAGGGGATGAAACCACTTAAAATCTGTCAGAACAGTAGAGTAGTTAGGCTTGGGTCAGTGTTTTTTGAAAACTCTTTGATGACAGACAATCATGTAAAATTCTGGAGAGTGTTGGCTCTACCTTTATGTAAGGCTTAAAGAAGTATTTACCTCTCTTCCAGTTGGAACATGCTTTGCTAATTTAACTTTGGCAAAATTTCCCTTTCCAATAGTTTTGACAAGTCTGTATTTCCCAATGTGGGGCTCATCTGTTCGACCTCTTGTTGATGTCTGAATCCTTGGGTTACCATTATCGTCTGTAGGCTGAAATGAAATTCAAATCAAGTTATATGATAATCATAAATGTCGGAAGAAATGTTAACCATAAATTGTAAATATAACTTACCCTTGGATCAACAGTTACAGATTCGTGAACAGTTTGCAATGCAGCTCTTGCATTGGCAGACATTTTGAATAAATAATATGTATTATTCCACTGTTTATATTAGCTAAAGTAATGTGATAAATAATAGTTTTGGTACTTTAACAATTGCTCTTGATAATCCTTTACAGTGCACATTTATATATTCCAAAAGCACGAACGATCAGTGGTCTAAAATCACAAAACTTTAGCACTTGAGAAGGTCGCTAAGGTTGATTGCAAGAAATGGTTCCGTAACTTTAGCACTTATTTTCAACTGTTCATTATTGTTTAACAGACGCCATTTCATAACAACAACATAATTGAAATATTTTTCTGTTCATCCGTTATCGATACGATAACAAGGAATCCCTCTTTGGGCATGAAAATCACGATTTTCTCGATAAATTCATTCACATTTTTGTACAAAATGGCTGACTTTTCTTCACCGACAAGCCTGAGAGTCGTGCGCATTGGGGTCATTACGAGATCATTTGATTGGATAGACAGGGAAATGTATGACATCATCTCATATTCCCCCAGCTGGTTGTTGCTTCTATACATACCTTCATATTTAATTTCTTATATCATCCCAGGTCTAAATCGATAAATAAATATGTCCATTAATGTTTCGGGAATAAAGTTAAGAACACACGATCATTAATATCCAGTAAACAAGACAGAATCACAACAACGTTCAACGGATATAGACAGGTGCCCGTTTCACGTCTTCACAATGTCACGCCCCTGTAAGCACTAAACAGACTAAACGAAAGAGACTGATCGGGATTTAATCGAGGTATATAATGCGTCATACCTTGACGACTCGTTCACCAACTGTCATGCTTCGCTGCATCTTCAACCTTTGAACATTACCGATAATAGCCGATATATTTTCTATATTTATGTTCGTCTGTTAAAATATTGAATATAGGCTATAACCAGTTGATATTTAAGCCCCGCTATACCTATAATACCAGTTCATTATCAATTAATTGGAGAAAGAACAGTTAGTACGTCAGAAGGCTCTAATACAGGTGTCTTTTGTTATGAAATCAATATGAAATAAATTGGTCCTACTGTTAATTAGTCGGAATTCGTATATCGGTTGATGTATGGAATAACTCAAACCTAAAACTTTCTTCGTGTTGGTTTAATGCACGACTTAAGATGGTCATGTGAATTAATAAATTACGAATCTTACTGTTATTTTAGTTGAAAAGTCATATGAATAAATCTCACGATTCGTCTACAATCGGATGATATCCATGGAAGTTATCCGAACCGCAAAATATAGTCCTTCGTCTGTTATAACACAGTCTCAAGCTAAACGTAGCCTACTTAGGGCTTACTGTGTCCAGAATAAGCCACCTTTCCAGTATCACGATAGTTTGTAAATTCAGCTATTTAATTGGATTGTACGCTAGCAAAGATAGCCAATCATAACCACGACTCCATATGTAGTCAAATTTTTCTGGCTGTCGAAGGCATTTCAATAGTAAAGAATAGCTTTTATTCTATATATTTTCCTAGATTTGGAATATGCAACAATTGACGCTTCAAGTTAGAGAGCTAGTATAAGTATAATGAAAATTTTCTGTGGTCAAAATGGTATAGACCTTGGTAATGTTTTGTGATATAACATATTTTAGGCTGTGAAAAAGCGAAAAGTCAGTTCTATTCAAGTTGACAAGAATATATCAAGCACGGATTGGCGTCGGCACAGGTAAAATATGTAACGGATGATTTGAGTTTTATTCTGCACCTTTTTAGTGCTTCATTGTTGGATGTCTGTATGGTCATCTCCTGAATCCAGAATGCCACTATAGCTTTCGAATCAGTAGAAATTTTCAGTGACTCAACAACTATAGAGACTGGTTGAACCAAGTCCACGGACGCCCACCCCTAGAAAAATGAGGATCTGTTAAAGGGACAGATAGCCGCAATTGATCTGTTTTTTTTTTGTGAAGAATGCGAGTATGCAACGCGTTTTGTTTGGGTTTCGCCAACATATTGTAGGCTATGTCGCATTTTCGTACAAGAGATTAGGTATATTATCGATGCATGACAGAACGTCTGTAAGTTTGAAAATTTTACCGTTTTCTTGCTTTCGAAATGTATTCGCAGGTAAGCTGAGCTAATCAATGGTAGTGATCACAAACCCGACCTTGAGATATGTAGAAAAGCCATTTATTATAGAAATGGAAAGTTTGAGGTATTTTTGAAGGGATTATGCTATTTTGGCCTGTTTTTAGCACTCCCGAAGACTATTTACGAATATTCTCAACCCAAATCAACCCCCGAAAATGGCAAGTCTGTCCCTTTTAAAACAAAATCCCGACGGAGGGACCCCAACCCACTTATCTAATAAAATGAACTAGTAACTTTGATAGGCTGGTTGGCTATTGGTGGTAGGTCTATTTCATTAAGGCAAGGGTAGCCTACGAGTACAAATTACCGTGTTACAACTAGCCCGGTCTCCCATGCGAGTGCTACGGCGGACCAAACAAATCAATGTGCGAATGTGTTATTGATTCCCGTTATAAAGAAAATGTTTGATCTAAAGGGGGGAGGGGGCTTTAGATCTAATAATTTGACTCATGACATTCAGCTCATCTAAATTTTTCAGGGAGGGGTTGGTGAATGGCAAACATTTCTTAGGGAGCTACAGGTCTGTCGTCAGTGGTTTCTGTAACAACTACTGAGTCTTCTGTTGCTTCTCTCAACGCGGACCATTTTTGTTTCTTGATTTGCATTGAGGAAAGTTTAACACGTGGACCTTTATAATGAATCATTTGAAAAGTTTTGACCCCCAGTCTGTTGGATGTGGACAATTCTAATATAAGATAAGGGCCCATAATCCAGGCTCAAGATAATTCTCGCCATCTTGCTTGACGAGACGTTGTTGGGCGCTTAGCCTTGAATTTGACATTGAGCCTTTTGAACTACCCTACTCACTCATTGTAACTTGAAGACAGATAATCAACACAATCACAAACGTTAGCACTTTTATATCTTAAATGTAGACTATGTGGCCTACATGTATTTCGGAGGATTAATATTTCTGATATCAACGGTCACCTTGAAACCAATTGCACGCACGTAGCGTAGACCCCAAATGCATTGGCGGCATAACTGGGGATACAGGGGCGTAAAATATCAATTTACACGCTTTTACCCGTTTTTCAAAAATTTGGGTTTCCTCTTCTCTCTTGGCCAAAAAATATCATTGGTTGAAGGCAAGAAATACACATAAATTTCATTTATTAAATTTTCATCAAAATACATCTGAAATAGAACTGGAACAAAAATTTCTGACATTGAAACTAAATTTCATTTAACAGCATGTATACCTATTTTGTCCACTATAAATGGGAAGACCATTTGAGGTATGTGAGGAGCAAATACAACTTCAAACTTTCTCACACTTCCTTCCACACTTGTGTTTACTATTTCATTGTTCTCTAGTTGTATATGATGGCTGGTTTTAGCTAACATAAACCTTGCTGTTAGTTGATTAGACCAGGTTAAACCAAGAGCTGGTAGAAGTTTTCTCGTTGATGACCGGTCAAAGGAATCAGTTACCTGTAATAAGAGATTACTGATGAGTTATTGACAGTAATGGTGTGATGTTAGTTTTCTCTAATGATTTACAATCACGATATCTGCTAGTAATAATAATAATAATACTTCTATTATATTTATTCTAAATCACTTTTTACTTTTCATTCACGCATCTTAGTTTGAATACACTTTAATTCAGTCATACACATTTTAATAAATGTTAACTTAAGGAAGCAGTTGTAGCATTTCCAGGAGTTGATTTGGACCTTGAATATGTGTAAAGTCTTCAGAGCTACTGTACAAATAATTACATAATTTCTTCAAATAGATCTCAAACAAGAAATTAATTTTTTATTTAGCTCCGTTATTACTGATTAGTTTAGCATAACAATTCACGTTTCTAAGACCAGGGCATGATTTGCTCCAGGAAATGCTACATCTGTCCCTTTAAAAGAGACGGTAAACTACTTTTGAACCTTTTTATTACCAATTATTTTTTGTCAAATTCTGGATTTAAATGTATTGAGCTGCATGGAACTAAGCTTCTTTATATATTTAATTATTCAAAGATTGATTGTAACTACATAGTCATCCAAATATCTTATAGTATTTGATTTCAGGTGCCCCAAAACCCTTTCTAACCTTAAAGTCAACAAAATCAAAACAAAAATCAAAGAGCTAAACTTCTCTTACATTAGTTATTTTGTGTACGAGTTGTTAATGAGTAATTGATGGAATAGGACTAAACTGAAAGTATAGTTCAGAGATATATAGGTAGAAATCATAAACAATATTGAAGAGAAACGTATTGTCTTTGTCTACTACTATCATAGAGTATGTATGTATCAGTGAGTTGGACAAATAATGAATAATGCATGAATTATCAAGTATAAAATCAACATTCCAATAATAACTAAACAGCTGAGTATTATTAATAATACTAATATAACCTATTTAACTAGAAATATTAGTAATCTATTAAATAGATTATATTAAATCAACATTACTTGTCATAAAACTTATCATTTTCTACCTCTATTTATTAAATCATGCAATTTTATTGTTTCAAAATAATTCATTTTTATTTCAATAGACACACTTTACAATTAAAAAAATATTGCAATTCAGAAAACAATAATAACAATGAATTGCATTACATGTTGAAATGAAATAATAATCTATTCACGTTCTCATTGTTTCCAGCTTTTAGAATTGAAAGAACCTTTCTCTTCTGCATAAACCAAATAAAAAGCAAGACAAAAAAGAAAATATTGTACTTATTTTATTGTAAATAGCAAACAAATCTATGAGCAAAAGGTCAATTTATAATTTAAAAATCCGGATTGGAATTAGTTGTATTAGATATAAAACATAGATATAGAGAAGACAGTCATTATTATACTATAAAACATATTTACACAAAGATCTTGTTATTCAATAAGTTATACAATCAATATATTTCTTTATCAAGAAGAATACAATAGTAGAATGATTATTTTGGACTAGGATTAGATCTGTAGATAGAGGGAAACAGGTGTTTGAAATATAATACTCTAGAAGTTTAATATTACAACTAACAATATTTTATTATATACATAGAACTGTGTATTGTATACAACTCAATACCTACCACTATAATTGTATTTAAATTCAACTTTATTTTTATTTCATATTCAATATGGTCACGCTGCTTTTGTGTGCTTCGAGTGAGTAATTTAACAACAGACCAGTTCAATAATTAATATCTTGTCTGGTTGACAAGTTGGTTGAAAAATTTATAAATTTCTAGACAATTTCTGTTAAGTTGTTCAATTTGAAACAAATAACGCATATCTCTTTCAAATGAACATAGGGTAGCAAATGTTATATCTAA